TTTTTGATTTTAGCCATTCTGGCTGGTGTAAGATGGTATCTCAGAGTTGTTTGAGTTGCATTTCTTCTCTGATGGCCAATGATTTTGAGCACTTTCTTAAGTGTTTTTCAGCCATTTTAGATTCCTCTGTTGAGAATTCTCTGTTTAGTTCTGCACCCCACTTTTTAATTTCATTGTTTGGTGTTTTGGTGGGTAGCTTCTTGAGTTCATTGTATATTTTGGAAATCAGCCCTCTGTCAGATGTAGGGTTGGTGAAGATCTTTTCCCATTCTGTGGGCTGTTGTTTTGTCTGACTGACTGTGTCCTTTGCCTTACAGAAGCTTCTCGGTTTCAGGAGGTCCCATTTATTAATTGCAGACCTCAATGTCTGTGCTCCTGGCTATTCATTTAAGGGTATCTCCCACTTTCTCTTTTAAAAGATTCAGTGTCACTGGATTTATGTTGAGATCTTTGATCCATTTGCACTTAAGTTTTGTGCATGGTGACAGGTATGGATCTATCTGCAATTTTCTACATGTCCCAATCCAGTTGTGCCAGCACCATTTGTTGAAGATGCTTTCTTTCTTCCATTGTATAGATTTAGCATCTTTGTCAAAAATAAGGTGTTCATAGGTGTGGGGGGTTAATATCAGGGTTTTCAACTCAATTCCATTGGTCTGTCTGTCTACTTTTGTGCCAATACCAAGCTGTTTTCAGAACTATGGCTTTATAATAGAGCTTGAAGTCAGGGATGGTGATGCCTCCAGAAGACCCTTTATTGTACAGAGTTGTTCTGGCTATCCTGGGTTTTTTGTTTTTCCATATAAAGTTGAGTATTGTTCTTTCAAGGTCTGTGAAAAACTGTGTTGGGATTTTGATGGGGATTGCATTGAATCTGTAGATTGCTTTTGGCAAGATTGCCATTTTTACTATGTTGATTCTACCTATTCAAGAACATGAGAGATCTTTCCATATTCTGGTATCTTCTTTAAATTCTTTCTTTAAAGATTCAAAGTTCTTACTGTACAGGTCACTTACTGTTCACTTTTTGGTTAGGGTTACCCCAAGATATTTTATGTTGCTTGTGGATATTGTGAAGGGTGATGTTTTTCTGATTTCTTTCTCATTGGATTTATCATCTGTATATAGTAGGGCTACTGATTTTTTTTGAGTTAATTTTGTATCCTGCTACTTTGCTGAAGGTGTTTATCAACTGTAGGAGTTCCCTGTTAGAGTTTTTTGGGTCACTTATGTAGACTATCATATCATCTGCAAATAGTGACTTCAAAGTTTGACTTCTTCCTTTCCAATTTGTATCCCTTTGATCTCCTTTTCTTGTCTTATTGCTCTAGCTAGAACTTATTTCTTGAATTTTTTGGTTTGTCTTTTCCCTCACTTCATGTAATTTTTTGCTTGTTTTCTCTTCTATTTCTTTAAGGGATTTTCTTGTTTCCTCTTTAAAGGACTCTATCATCTTCCTAAGATAATTTTTGAGGTTCATCTCTTCTTCATCCTCTGTGTTGGACTTTTTAGATATTGCTGGTGTAGAGTCCCTAGATTCTGGTGGTGTCATATTGGTCTTTCTGTTGGTGAGTGTGTTCTTATTCAGACTTCTTCCCATGTCTTCTTCCCGTGGGTTCAGGTCGTGTCTCTCTATCTCCTTTTGTCACCCGGTGGTGTGTGTGGGCCAAGACTTCAATGTCTGCAACTCTGGATGGTCTTGCCTCTCCTGGTAGTCTCCTCACTCTGTAAGGGTCAGGCTGGTGGAGGAGGGGGAAGGAAAAAGAGTGTTTCCAGACTCAGGGAGCTGCCTGGGTGGGTCCACTCTAAGCAGGCCCAGGCCCAGAGAGATCCGGGGTGAATGGGAAGTTGGATAGGAATAGGACAGAGCAGAGGGTACACTTACCTTGGTAGTTGTCAGGCTCGTGGCGGAGCTAATGTTATATTTTTCTATGTAAAAATAATCAGTATTAAAGCTCTCCCAGATAAGGTCATAATTCTTTTTTGGGTGAGGGTGATACTATTGAACCTAGGTCCTCATATACATGCTAAGCAAGAACTCTACTACTGAGCAATGTCCCTAAAGTCATACTAGTTTCTATTTTCAATTGTCCTTTCCCAAATTTCAGTATTTCAACTCTTAGACTAGGACAACAAACCAAGATTTGCTAGACACTGACCGAGATCTTCTCTGTATGGCAATACTTGGCCCTGGAGGAAGCCAAGCCTGTACTCTTGGATTCATCAGAACCATATCCCAGTTATAAAAAGGTAACATCCATGGAGACCCAACTTTACAAGTCTGTGAATGTCAGAGTAGGGATACCTGGATAATAGGAATTTATTTACAGTTATTGACTCCTTAAATTACGAAAGATTAATGACCAAAAGGAAATGATTAAAAATAAAGACTCGGGGCTAGAGAGATGGTTCATCAGGTAAGTGCATTGGCTTCTCTTCCAGAGGCCTTGAGTTCGTTCCCAGCAACCACATGGTGGCTCACAACCATCTCTAATGAGATCTGGTGCCCTCTTCTGGCATAAAAGTGTACATGCAGATAGAGCACTCATACATAAAGTAAGTGACTAATAAAGAAATAAAGACTCCATGGATGTTGCCTGGGTGGATTTAAGTTGGGTGCTGTAGAGCATAATGGGAGTCTTGGTTTTGGAGGACTCCAGAAGTCTTACTTCCAATTCCTAAAAGACCCATGACTAGTAAGAGGTGCTGCTGGTAGCATTTTCTCTAGCATTTTCAATTTCATATGTTTCTAAGTCAGTATTTTTTTTTAAATAAATTTTTGTTCACCTAAAGATGATTTAAGTATTGCTGATTTTAGAAGTTGTTAATTGTAGGTGTTTTGTTGTTGTTCTTTTTTAGTTATCGTGAGAAAGCAAAGAAAGATGCTGCTGCTGTGGGTAATCACGTTGCCAAATTGCTTCAGTCTGTTGGCCAGGTAAGCTGCTGAGCATATTGCACCTTAACAGTTTTAAGTGCTACTCCCTACGGGCATGGAATGCAGCCATGGAGGTTAGAGATTGAAAGCAGCCATGGAGGTTAGAGATTGAAAGCACTACCCTAGCTTCTTGTTCTTTTGCCTATCTAATGAGAACACCCCCTTACAAGAAAACAGGTGTGTATAAAATGTTCTCCCACCTCTTGTAGAGAGCTTCTCATTTTATTGAGCCCTTGGCCATTGTCTTTGAGCTGTGCCCTCTGTTATCTTTTGTGTGTATGCATTTGCTGGAGAGAAAGATTTCTTTTATCTCTGATTCATTTATCTCTTTGTAGGCACCAGAGTCCATTTCGGAGAAAGAATTAAAATTGCTTTGTAAGTCCTTTTAATTTCCTATTTTGCTTGATAAAAATATGCTACAGAGAATGTTCTTGGGAGTTTTAAATGGCTGAAATTCTCAAAGTGGGTTGTGTGTTTCCTTAGGGAACTTTATTATCTTGTAATAAAAAGGAAATTTTAAGACTGGGGTCATAGGCACTCATTTGATCTGTGTTAAATGACTGTAATGGAATTAAGAATTTGCCATAAAGTTCATGGCTGGGCTTCTGGGGTTTTCTCCTGATTCCTCAGTGGGTAAAAGCATTTTCTTTGAGTCAGTTGTAGGTTGGGGAGATAGCTCAGTAGGTTAAGTGCTGGCCATGCAAACATGAAGAACTGAGTTCACTTTATCTGAAATGGTGAGCTCTGGGTTTGTATAAGATCCTGTCTCAAAAAAAAAAAAAAAAGGTGGAAAACAAAACAAAAAAAATAATAATAATACAGTGGAGGTAGAAGATACTCAGAATCGCCGGGCATTGGTGGCGCACGCCTTTAATCCCAGCACTTGGGGAGGCAGAGGCAGGTGAATCTCTGTGAGTTTGAGGCCGGTCTGGTCTATAGATAGAGTTCCAGGATAGGCTCTAAAGCCGCAGAGAAACCCTGTCTCGAAACAAACAAACAAACAAAACAAACAAAAAAAGAAGATACTCAGAATCAGTCTCTGTTCACCACATGGTACACGTATGGGTAAGCACATCCATGCATATACCACACACCCAAGTAAAGGCTTCAAAAAGTTAGTTCTGGGGCTAGAGAGGTGGCTTACCAGTTAAACAGAGGAAGCCCCAAGGAACATACACATAGACACAAACAATTTTAAGCTTTACATACACACAAAACTGAGAATATAATCAAAGCAGGAATTAGTTCATACCATTGATATTCAATGTTTAGCATAACCTATTGTACTGTGGCCACTCAATAAAATGTATAATGAATAAATGCTTAAAATTTTATTTTTAAATGATGTGCATGTCTGTGTATGGATATGTGCACTTGCAGAGGTCAGACGTGTCAAATCCCCTTGGAGCTGGAGTTACAGGTTGTCTCATTGGTACCTGATGTGGGTGTTGGGAAATGAACTCGTTTACACCAAGCTCTCTTAAATGCTTTGTCATCCTGTAGCCCCAATTTCTTGTTCTTAAAGTGACCCATAACTAAGTATATTCACCTGTTGGAACCATTCTGAAGTCTTTATTTTTCACAGGCAGCAATTCTGCATTCCTTCGAGTGGTAAGATGCCGCCCTTTAGCTGAAGAATATGGTTTGGATACAGTCAACAAAGATGAAATTAGTGAGTATAATAACTAAATGCTAAGTTAAAAGTTATTACTAAAATGAGTATAAAAGTGTTAAATAAATGAATTTATAAAATATATTTTATATTCTATTTAATAGATTTACCTGAATGATTTTAATTTATATATGCTATACAAAAATAAATGCAGAACATTGTATCTAGATTATTGAGTGCATTGTGTGCTGTATATAAGATCTAACTTTGGCTTTTTGGTGTTTTTGTTTAGTTTCTTTGTTTTGTTTTGAGACAGGGTTCTCTGAGTAGCAGTTCTGGCTGTCCTGGAACTCCCTTTGTAGACCAGTCTGGCCTCGATCTCAAACTCACAGAGATCCACCTGCCTCTGCCTCCCGAGTGCTGGGATTAAAGGTGTGCCACCACCATTTGGCTGTGTTTCTACTTTGGCAGATACTCCAGCTAGTAGTCCATAAGACCCTTGGGTTACATCTTGACGTACTTCTTATCTATAATTTTATACTTTATTTTCATAAAATATTTATACTTTTTGCTAATATTGTCTTATATCCTGAAGCTTAAGTATGAATTCAGCCTTTTCTTGTTTGTATGCTGTAAGTTGTCCAGTTCTACTGTTTGTTTGTTTTTTTTTTTCTTTCAGTTTCTAGCATGGACAATCCAGATAATGAGATAGTCCTATACCTAATGTTGCGGGCTGTTGATCGATTTCATAAACAGCATGGCAGATACCCTGGTAAGAACAGCAGTTGACTTACTAGATATAGCTAGGCAGTGGTGGCATGCATCTTTAATACCAATACTTGGGAGGCAGAGACAGGAGGATCTCTTGAGTTTGAGGCCTACAGAGCAAGTTCCAGGACAGCCAGGGCTACACAGAGAAACCCTGTCTCTAAAAAGTCCAAAAAAAGCGGTTTTGGCTTTTCATTGTTTTGTAGTTTGGGTTTTTTGTTGTTGTTTGTTGTTTTGAGACAGGATCTTAACTCAGGCTGGCCTTGAACTTGTGATCTTCTTTCATCACACTCTTAAGTACTAGATTTATAGACATGAACTATCACATCTGGCTCAATAAAATCTTGAACAAATACTTGACCTGTTGCCAGGTATGGTGCCCTCATCTTTAATCCCAGCACATAGAAGTCAGAGGCAGGTGGATCTTGTGAGTTTGAGGCCAACCTGATCTACATAATGAGTTCCAGGACAGCCACTGTTATGTAGAGAGAAACTGTCTAAAACAAATAACTAACCAACCAACCAACCAAAAACTGGCATTGGTGGCACTAGACTTTAATCATAGCACTTGGGAGGCAGAGGCTGGAGGATCTCTGTGTTCAAGGCTAGCCTGCTGTATAGACTGAGTTCCAGGACAGCTAGGGCTACACAGAGAAACACTGTTTCAAAACAATACAACAAAAAAGCACAAAATAAAAACACTTGACCTGAATTTCAGTATTCTGTGGATATTTAGAGGAACTACTATTTGATTTTTAAGGCTAACTACTTACAGGTCATTTGATTCAAAACTATTAGAGAGGAGTACTGGTTGAATATGTATAGAAGAAAAAATTCTTTTCTGTTGTCATAGCTGACTTCTGTTTTCTGTAATAGTTTTTTTTTGTTTTTTTGGGGTTTTTTTGTTTTTTTTTTTTTTGGTTTTTTTTTGGTTTTTCGAGACAGGGTTTCTCTGTGGCTTTGGAGGCTGTCCTGGAACTAGCTCTTGTAGACCAGGCTGGTCTCAAACTCACAGAGATCCGCCTGCCTCTGCCTCCCGAGTGTTGGGATCAAAGGCGTGCGCCACCAACGCCCGGCTTTTTTTTCTTTAATAGTTATTGTTTTAAGTCACTAACATGTCTCCTGTAGGTTTATTATTATTATTTTGTCTTTTTAATATGTGTGTATGTGTGTGTGTGTGTGTGTGTGTGTGTGTGTGTGTGTGTGTTTGAGACAGGGTTTCATTCTATAATTCAGGTTGCCCTTGAACTCATTGTATAACCCACACTGGCTTCAGTCTTGTAGCAATCCTCCTGCCTCCATCTTCAAAGTGCTAGGTCAATCAGCTTTTTTAGTTTTTAAAGCCTGGCCTGGAACTTGCTGGTTTTGAACTCTTGATCTCGCTTTATCCTTCAGAAGACTATATATGAATGTATAGTACCATTCCCAGCTTATAGTTTACTCCTGTAACTCACATTGAGTTTTACCTGAAGGAATAGGAAACCCACAGGCAGTCTATCAGTGACTTCTGAACTTTGAAGTCTATAAAGATACAAGGATTTCCTTGCTCAGTATTTTGTTGTTGTTGTCTTCAAAGGCAGTACTTGGAAAACTTGTATAATCTTAAAGATCCACAATACTCAGAATATTTTTTTTGGTAATTATAATTGTGCAGGATTATTGCATAGCAATGCATTCTAGATAGTTCTAGATAAAACCAGTTGTCCCAACTAATGAAGTAACCCCCAGTTTATAGACACAGTGAACATATTTACTAGAAGGGAAAAAAGAATCATTAAGCATATATTGGTTTACTTATAACTAGAATGTACTTTGGTTATTTTTTACATAGCAAACCACTCAAAAACTTAGTGGTTTAAAACGGGGGGGGGGGGTGTGTGTGCACGCATGTGCAATTGTGTTTGGAGGTTAGAGGTTGACATTAGGTATCTTCTTTGGTTGCTGTGCACATTACGTTTTGAGACAAGGTCTCTTCATTGAACTGAGAACTCGAAGATTTGGATATACTGGCTGGCCGGCAAGCCCTAGGGGTCCTCCTGTTTTGCCTTCCCCAATAATAGGATTATAGGCATATGCTACTATGCCCAGTTTTTTATGTGGGTCGTTGGAGATTGAACTCTGATTTTCTTGCTTATACAGCAGGCACTTTACCAACTGAGCATCTTGCCAACCTTAAAACAAATCATCTCTGGTGTTATGTTGATTAAGCTGAGGCAGTTCTCTTCCAAGAGAAGTTCTCATGTAGTTGTATGATATGTAGGCTTAAGATCCCAAATTCTTGACTGAATTAAATATCTAAGAGACAGCTTCACTTCCTGAGATGTTTGGCACCTAGGTGTGGCTGAGGTAGAAAGATTGCTGTGAGTCTGAGGTCAGCTTGGGCTACAGAGTGAGACTTTGTCCTAAACAACAAAAAAGAGAAAGAAATAACTTAGCACTGGCTTGTTGCTAGAATGCTTGCTCTAGCATTCCTAAAGATCTGGATTCAATTCCCTGCATGGGAAAACAACAACAACAAAATGCTGTCTTACATTCTAGTTTTGCTGTTCATGAGCTAAGTAATTTAATTTGTCTGTGTCTCAACTCTTTCATCTATAAATGGAAATAGTTATAGCTACTTCATAGAGTTCTTATGAGAATTAAATTAGTGCATAAGCATGAGGTATCCAGCATCTACTACTGTTCAATAAATGTTATATATTATTAGGGGTTTAGGCACTCAGTGTCATTTAATCACTTAGAAATGATAATTAAGGACTGGGGATGTAGCTAATTTGTAGTTGTAGCATGCATGAAGCCCTAGGTTTAGTGATCTCCATCACTGAAAAAGCAACATGCCTGCTATCCCACCTGCCGAGGAGGTAGAGGCAGAAGAATCAGAATTGCAGAGTCACCCCTGGCTACATAGCAAGTTTGAGACCAGCAGGAGTACTTTCTAAAAAGACTCTTTCTAAAAAGAAAGAAAATAAAAATTTAAATTAAAGGACATAAGTAAGGTATTTTCTCTTTAGTTCTTTGATCAAGTAATTATTATTATGTATCACTCTTCTAGAACAATAATTAAGAAAGACTTAAAAACAGACAGACAAAAACCACACCAGAATGCTGGGATTAGGACCATCATGCCTGGTGGTGTCAGGATCAAACCCAAAGCTTTGTGCATGCTGAATCCACACTTTACTAACTGCCATACCCCCGGAACCAACAAAGACTTAGTGAACTTCAATTTGTGGTAGATTTTAGTTATCTCATTACTTACAGATTTCTGATACTTTCAGATGTTGGTTTCATGTTTTATTGCTTTGTTTTTTAGTTTCATACCTTACTGTTTTTATTACACCACCTGAAACTGGATTAAGTAAAGGAGATAGCCATTAATTTGAATCACTTTTTTTTTTCCTGAGAGGCTGTCCTGGAACTAACTACGTAAACCAGGTTACTCCAGGTTACTCGTAAACTCATAGAGATCTGCCTTCCTCTGCCCCCTGAGTGCTGGGATTAAAGGTGTGTACAGCCAGCTTACAAATTTAATGAAAATGCATATATGTATATATAATTTTTATAATTTTTTAGGAGTATCTAACTATCAAGTTGAAGAAGATATAGGGAAGTTGAAGTCCTGTCTTACTGGCTTCCTTCAAGAATATGGTTTATCTGTAATGGTGAAAGATGATTATGTCCATGAATTGTGAGTATTCTTGAGAGCATATAGAGTTAATACTCCTCCTGTTTGTTGTGAGACTAATAAAAATTTATATCTCCCTCTCTTCCTGTAGTTGCCGATATGGAGCTGCTGAGCCACACACCATTGCTGCATTTCTGGGAGGTGAGTTTTATATATGAAATGACTTATTAGTTGTTACTGATATATTTATAATATATTTATAAAAATTATACTACTTTAATTAGGGAGGTCAGTGAAGCAGGTTGTTAAGTTTAGGTTAGTCATTAGCTTTCCATACTGTTTTCCTTACCTGAAGAGTCATTAGTCCTTTGGAGGGATGCTTTTGATCGTGAGCCTCACTTAACTTTCTGAGCACAAGTACACACAGACCTTCCTCTCTCCTCTCTCTGCCTTGTCTTCTGCTCCAACAGTTCTCAGAAGCAAAGACTAACTTGACTTAGAGATCCTGTGTACCTTCTTTTCCCTGAGACATGCCCTAGATCTTTGTACCTCAGAGCCCAGTTCAAAGCTGCCATTTCTTTCATTAAAACTCCCTTTGTTTGTCCCATCATTTTTTCTTTGAGTCAGTTAAGTTAGTTACTGTATGGGTACTTTATAAACATCCGAAATTTATTTCCTATGGTTTTCAAAGATTAAAATGAGGATGCCGACATAGTTAGGGTCTGTTGTGATATCACTTCCAGGATCATATATAGTATTTTTTTTCTTACTGTGCCCTGACATATTTCTTTTAAAAAATGTCAAAAGAAACCTGCAGGGTCTTCTTTATGAGAGCATAAACCCATTTATGAAGGCTCCACTCTCATGGTCTAATCACTTTCCAGAAGCTCTACCTTTTAATACCATTGCATTGAGAGCTTTCAACATATTAATGGCAGGGGGAGGCAGAACACAAACAGTAAGTGAATAATACCTTTAAAATTATTCTCAGCCAGGCGGTGGTGGCACACACCTTTAATCCTGGCATTCCGGAAGCACAGACAGGAGGATCTCTGCGAGTTTGAGGCCAGCCTGGTCCACAGAGTTCCAGAACAGGTTCTAAAGCTATAGCAAAACCCTGTCTTGGGGGGAAAAAAAAGAAAAAAAAATTCTCCTGCCTATTACCTTCAATAACCTGAGCTATTTGCTTATGATATTTTCCTGTCGAGATGATTATTTTGAAGGCAGATCCAGTTTGATTAATAGTGTCCAGAATGCTAATAATGCAGACCTTAGAAAATCATATTTTAAGCAAACACAAAGCCTGATTCCTGATAATTTATTTAAATAAAATAATTCTTTTATTCTAAATAGTAAAGTTATTGAAAATTCACAGAAAAGGACAAATTATTATTTATTCAGATCTAGGCCAGATTCTGAGAGACACAATCAGAGAGGTCTAAAGTTAGAAGGTCTTTATTTGTATGTTTTGTGGTGATTTTGAACCTTCTTCTCTGAGACTTTCCCTGCATAAACTTGAGCCACTTGTACTCTTCCTCCTTTTCTTTTTAACTGTAGCATTTTGCCATTTTACAAACTATACATTGTTTATTTTTAAGCTATATTTTCTCTTGCTGCTAAAGCGAAAGATGCAAGTGAGCAGATATTTTTGTCTCTTGTACTCTGCTTTATCTATGGTGCCTGAAAGATGATTTGCTGTGTAATAGTGTCTTGGTGGAATTTTGCCATTTCTTTTGTGTTTTGAGTACTTTATAGAAGCTCTATGGTATTTACTGTACAGTGTTTCTAAATAACAAATGAATTTCAAAGCTGAGAATGTGGCTCAGTGACAGCATGCTGCTTACCTAGCATTGAGTTCCTGGGTTTGATCCTCAGTATATAACACACACGCACGCACGCACGCACGCACGCAAAGCACGCACGCACGCACGCACGCGCTTGTGGGAGAGGAGGGGGGAGGATGACACTGATTTAGAACAAATATGCTTTTATCCTTTTTTACTATACAGGTAGCATAGATAAAGGTAGAATTTAAAATGCAGTGGTGAGAGGAAGACCAACCAGAGGGGGAAATAGGGAGACAGGGAAGGGGCAGGTAAGAACAAAATGCAGTAATAGTAAGCATGAAAATGTCCTAGTGAAATCCATTTCTTTGTATGTTAATCAAATTATTAATAAAGCACACACACACACACACACACACACACACACACACACACACACACACACACACACACACACACACTGAGTGCAACAGAAGGGCTTTCTTTGAAGAGGATCTTTTTGTGTGTGTGTGTGTTTTGGGGGTTTTTTGAAACAGGGTTTCTCTGTGGAGCCTTGGCTATCCTGGAACTCACTCTACAAACCAGCCTGGCCTCACAGAGGTCCACCTGCCTCTGCCCCCAAATTGCAGAGATTAAAGTTGTATACCACCATCACCTGGCTGAAGAGAATCTTTATTATGCCTCTTTGTATCCTTTCAAAAAATTCCTTCAACCAAACTACTATTTAAACTTTTCTTTGTTCATTCACTATATCTTGCCAACTTTCTAAACCTTCATAATTAAAATTAGCCTTATTTTAAAAATTTGTTTCCCAGTATTTCATTGGGTAATTCCTAAAATGAGCCTTCTATTTCCTTTAATAACATAGTTATAAAGAATTATAGTATCTTGCCGGGCATGGAGGCACACACCTTTACTCCCAGCACTTTGGAGGCCAAGACAGTTGGCAATTTGAGGCTAGCCTGGTCTACATAATGAGTTTTAGGACAGCCAAAGTTATATAGAGACCCTGTCTTAAAAAAGCAAACAAAAACATTTATAATCTTTTATTTTGTTATGACTCAGTAAGCTGTGTTTATGTTAGATTACTTTTGAACAGCTTTGCTTTTGTTTATGGAATTACTTTTGTTTTTTCTCTTCTGTAATCTGCTATTTGTATAGTATATCCTATATACCATAGATCTCACGTACCCCAAGGTGGCCTCCATCTCCCTTTATAACTGAAACTAGCCATGAACTCATGATCATACTGCCTGTACTTCCCAAGTGCAATGAATAGAGTCATATACTACCACACCAGTTTTTTTTGTTTTGTTTTGTTTTGTTTTTTGAGATAGGGTCTCATTGTATATCCTTGACTGGCCTAGAACACTATATTTAGCAGACAGGCTTTGAACTCCACAGAGATCCACTGCTTCCTGAGTGTTGCAATTAAAAGCATATACCACCATGCCCAGTCTGGCATATATTATTTAACTCTTAAAATGTATTATTTTTAAATATTTACTTTTCTTCTTTTTCCTACAGGAGCTGCTGCTCAAGAAGTTATCAAAATAATCACCAAACAATTTGTAATTTTTAATAATACTTACATTTATAGTGGCATGTCACAAACTTCTGCAACTTTCCAGTTGTAGAATAAGCACTACATTGTAATATGTTAATGATTGAAGGTGTAATTGTCTTCGTATTGTGCTTTAGCTTGTAAAATCTATTGTTTTCCTTAATAAACATTTTTCTCGTTTGTAATATAGTGTTGTTGTTTGGTGTGGGTGGTAAGGATAAAGTAGTCATTTTTCCCGAAGAATAAAAGCTATCATTTTGTAATGTAGTTCATTAATACTGGCTTGCAAATTTGCAGTTACATATCAAAGACAGATCTGTTTCATTAGAAAAAGTAAAAATAATTAACCCTTTCAATGAATTGAAGACATGGATTTTAGCTGTGCACATTTTAAGATCATTATTTGTTAAAACAGAATTTTAAAAGAAGCATTTCAGGATGTGTAGTTTTATAAGAAAACAAAGCCATTTCCTTATAGTGTCATTCATTATATAACTAAAGTTTTTACCAATATACCTACTTGTTGAAATTTCATAGGGTTGTTCCATCCATAAATTTAATGAATAATCAAATTGAAATAATAACATTTACCATCGTGTTAGATGAAAAAAAAGTCCTTACGATGAGGAATAGCAGCAAACTAGAAATATAGAAATGGGAGTAGGGCTCCGTTTCTGACTTGTGTGTGGCTAGCTGAATGTGTTCATGTGACACTCAGTAGCTTAAGGCTCTAAAACTGCCTGCTGTGTAATGCCATCAAAGGCAGTCTCCTGTGTGAGAATCTGTTATATCTGACAAGGGAAAGGGCATGCAGGGCTGATAGGGCTTTTATTTTCTTGGATACTAGTGTGTTGTTTTTGCTTGGCTGTCCACTTTATTAAATGACTTTCCTACAGCCTGGACAGCCCTCACTTCCATCTCCCAACAGTCCTATTGGATGGATTCTGCTAGAAAGGAAACATTACACCTGGACCACATTTAAGACTCAAGAGCTGAGGTTCTTGGGTCTATATAGTGAGAGGTTGGCTTGGGCAGAACCAAAAATTGTGGTTTAGGAATTCGCCCAGTGACACTGCATGGAATGCCCAATGGAATGGAAGAAAGTCTGGCGCTGGACTAGGTCAGGAGGGAGCAAATGTCCTTTTCCAAGAAGGGAAATCCTAAATGCTGAGGTGGTAAGGTTATAGTACCCTCAAATTATAACATTCTCCCATCTAAAACCGGGCACCACGCCCTGGCCACCTCCTGCCCTCAGTACACTAGCGACCAGTCACCTGCTGCTATGAGCATAGGCTCTGTGTGAATGCAGGTGTCCGGCCGGAAGTCCCGCCCAGCGGATGTAAACCTGCCTCGCGTTGGGAGGGAAACCCAGTCAGGCGTCGTAGTCTGGGCTTCCTCAGGGAAGAGCTGCTGCGAGGCTGAGAAGCTTCGCGGCTCCAGGGTAAAGGCTACAGTCTCCGCTTCCGGTTTCGGGTGTTGCGGCACTCAGCCCAACTTTGCCTTGTGGAGCAGGCGGCTCCTGCTCCCAGAGCTATGGTGCTGGCGTGGCGCTGCTTAACTGGCTCACCTGAGGGGACGCATTAAGCTGAGGAGGACAAGGGCTTTCCTGGGCTGGCGCCAGGCCGCAGTGTGGGACTCTGATTAGTGGGACGTCAGTGGACGCCCTGCTGCTCCAGGTGATTGTGGTGTGTGGAAAGCGTCGGCTCCACAGGAGATTTCGTTTGTGAGAACGAGGACAGGACCACGTGTCTCGGGAACAGCAACTGAACCGCAAGCCTTGTGATCTGGGTGATTGTTCCCGGGAGGTCTGCCAAAGCCATGCTTGGGAGCAGTGCTCGGCACCCCGCAAACTGAACCGCCAGCCCTCCTTAGAAGACTTCTTCAGCTCTTTAGGTGAGCCAGGCCTCGTAGCCTCGAGCCAGAGACCCGGAGGGGGGAAGACAGCCTTAACCCGTGGAAAGATGATGGACACGGTGCAAATGAACCTAGGCTAGCGTGAGGGTTTCCGCCCCCACATCCTATCCATCCTGAGCTGGCTCCTGTTACCCCCAGAGTATTTTCTGGACCCTGAATGACTTGTTTTAATCCCTTTGAACTTTTGAAGCAGAAAGTTGATAGTGCAAGTTACATATTTGCCTTTGCTCCCATTACAGATGCTTTCCACAGTATATGATTCCAAGGCAGATGTCCACCTTAAACAACTTACAAATAGCAGTTAATGCCAGCCTCACCCAGAAAGATGTTGTCTCTCATGGGGGATGGGGCGGATACATAGTTTTTCGGGTTTTTTGTTTTTAAATGAACGTTTCCTAGAGAAGCTAATTTCAGTAGCTGGGTATGTCGCTTAATGTTAGATTTTATCTTGAGTCGTATCCCTAGGGCCAAAGGGGTGGAGAACAAATACTCAGCCAGTTTTCTTATTTATTTTCTCTACTAGTTTTCCTAGTAAAGTTTGGAGCAATGGTTCTCAACCTGTGGTTCGTGACCCCCTTGGGTTGCATATCAGATATTTACATTACGATTCATAATAGTAGAAAAATTAAAGTTATGAAGTAGCAACGAGATGATCTTATGGTTGGGGAGTTACCACAATATGAGGAACTGTATTAAAGGGTTGAAGCATTAGCTTGGTTGAGAAACACTGTTTTGGAGAGTGAGTAAAACCTGTAAGGATTGTGCTTTCTGTTATGTGGAAACGTTTTTGTGTTTTTGTTTTTTCCCCTATGATGACACAGTAAAAACTTTTAAAATCTCATTGTTGGTGGTAATTTGTATCTTTTCACAAAATTACTGAAAACATTTCATAATTGTTTTATTTGGCACATACTTTTGACATGGAAAATGAGCTATTTATAATTTTAAAATTATCTTTTTGAAATTTACAACTGGTCCTTTGCTGTAAATATTTATTTATTTTGGTTTTTCAAGACAGAGTTTCTCTGTGGCTTTGGAGGCTGTCCTGGAACTAGCTCTTGTAAAGACCAGGCTGGTCTCGGAACTCACAGAGATCCGCCTGCCTCTGCCTACCTAGTGCTGCGATTAAAGGTGTGCGCCACCAATGCCCGGCTAAGAGTTAGAATTTTAATCCTGTAGATTTTGATGATGTGTGTGCGCGCGCACGCTCTTGCATGCATATATGGGTTAGCACATGCATGGTTAGAAGGTAACCAGTGAGAGTTTCTTTTCTCCTACCATGTGGGTCCCAGGGATCGCCCATCCTTTGGGGGGAGTGTTTGTTTGGAGCCAGTCTTTTTTTCTCCCCCACCCCCTTTCTTTCTGAAGTTCCTGGCAGGCCTGGAACTTTATATATGCAGCTCAGAGCGGCTTCAAACTCGTGATCCTTCTGCCACTCTCTTTCCTGCCTATAGATTATAGACTTTCACCATCATGCCCAGAATACTTAATTCTTTCAAAATTTTTTTTTAGCGTGGACTGCTTCATGAGTTTGTGTGAAGGAGCTGTGCTAATCTTCTCTGTATCATTCCAATTTTAGTACATGTGCTACTGAAGCAAGCATACTGCCCAGAATATTTCTTAGAAGCTGATCTACCTAAAAATACCCTATCTTCTAGATGAAATATAAGGACAAAAGACAAGCATGGAAAGTGAGAATACCAAGAAAATACAAGGTGAGAAATCCATGAATCATGTAATTGGACTAGTTTTACATATTTTATAGTTGTGTAATTGTGGGTGTATTTATGTGTGTGTTTATCATATCTAACAGCCTCTAGACAATGAAAAAATCACGCATCAATTTACACATATGACATTATTTCTGGGGGACATAAACATCTACTTTTTGCAGAGTGGGAATTGCCAATAGACAAAGTAAGGATATCACCAGATCCTACTTGCCAGTGAGTTTACTGGGGTTACTTATAACCATGTGAGTATGGAGTTATTTACAGAAGCAGAAATGACTCAAAGGCAGCTGTATCATCAAAAGTCTGCCCCAGCATGGGTGATAGCTCATGAAAGCTGCAGGCAGCTTAACAGGTTGGAAAGGATCTTTCAGTTGGTCTCTCTTTCCAGGCAGTTTAGTTGGTCTAAGCTTCTTTGAAGCAACTCTTTTGGTCTGGTGTTTCTCAGCAGTCCTTACCCCTCCTCTTGAGGAGGGAGGGGGCTAGCAATTCAGGTTAGTTTCAGGGACTTCCTGAGGCTTCTAAGTTGATTACTTACTTCCTAACTTTTAAAGAGCCTCGTTTTGGGTCATTTGTTGTTGTTTTCAAGATAGTCTTGACTATCCTGGAACTCGATCTGTAGACCAGGCTGGCCTCAAACTCACAGAGATCCACCTGCCTCTGCCTCCCAAGTGCTGGGGTTGATTGAAGGTGCAGCACCATTCTTGCCCCTGCCCCTTTTGAGATAGGGTTTCTCTATATAGTTCTGTCTGTCCAGGAACTCATTGTAGACCAGACTGGCCTTGAACTCACAGAGGCCTGCTTCTACCTCCTAAGTGCTAGGATTAAAAATGTGTACTACCCCTGCTTCCATCTTGGGTGTTAATGAGCTTCCATCCAAGATGGTATATATCAACTTGAAAGAAATTACTATGGCATAGAATGCATATTGACACCTACTTTGTGCCTATCATAAGTAATTCTTTTTTTTTTTTTTTCCATTCCATATGTAATTCTTGACATGGAGAAGCAGACATGGGTAATGTCATGCTGATACTTAGAGTGCTGTATGAGCCAGGCATCGTGGTGCATGCCTTTAATCCCAGCACTCAGGTAGCAGACAAGCAGATCTCTGAGTTCAAGGCCACTTCGTTTATATTGTTCTAGACCATCCAGGACTATATAGTAAGACTCTATTTGGGTGTTGGGTGGGGCATATGATAGTTGATTTACTGGTAGAATATAAAAGAACAATGATCCCTAGACATGGTGGCTCATTGTTGTGAGGGTGATGTCAGAAATATAGATGAATATGTTTGTGCCTGTCTATAAAGTCAAAGGCAGAATTGTTTTTTTTGTCAGGCTTTCATGTGGTCCAGGCTGGCCTCAAGCTCATTATGTGGCACAAAATGGCCTTAAACTTCTGATCTTCCTGTTCCCAAGTCCCAAATGCTGGGATTATAAGTATTTACCATAATGCCTGTTTTATGTAGTGTTAGAGATCGAAACTGGAGCTTTATTTATGCTAGTCAAGTGCTGAACCATATCCCCATCCCCAAAATTTATTGAATATCAGTAAGATCACAAGATATGATGGCTTTATTGGCATTGATTTGCCACACAGTGCCACTTTAATTAATAGTCTGCCCAGGCAAAACCAGGTCCTTTTTAAAAACAAAACAAAACAAAACAGGTTCTTATATTCCAGGTTCTTTTATTAACTACTAATATTAACTCTCAGATCACACATTATACATCACATTGTGAACCTATTTGTCTGACTACAAAGGGTTAAAGAGGCCTCAGTAGAGTTCAAGAAGTTTTGTTTTGGGGTTTTTGTTTCTTTGTTTTTTTGTTTATTTTTTTTTATTTTTCAAGGCAAGGTTTCTCTGTGCCGAGCCCTGGCTGTCCTGAAACTTACTTTGTAGAGCAGGCTGACCCTGAACTCAGAGGTCTGCCTGCCTCCTAGTGCTGGGATTAAAGTCATGCACTGCTACACCAGGCTTCAAGAAGTTTTAAAGAGGGTTGAGAAGTAGAAGCTGGGAAGCTATACAAGGGTGCAAAGATAATGAACATGACCTGAGGTCTGCTGGAGACCTTGCTGTTATTATAGAGTCAGGCTACTCCCAGGTATAGGTTTGAGGGAACTATAGAAAGAAGAGATGGACGCAGCAAGAGTTCATCTTTAGCTACATATTAAGATTGAGACCAGCCTGGGCCATATTAAGACTAGATAGATAAGACAGACAGACAGATGGATAGATATCAGGCTAAAGCTGTGGGGAGGTTGGTGAGGTGGCTCAGTGGTAACGATCATTAAACCTGCTAACATGAGTTTGTTCTCCAGTTTCCACATAGTAGAAAGAGTGATCCAACTTCTACAGTTGCCTTCTGACCTCTACATGCCCCCCCTACACACTAATTTAAAAAGTTTTATGTATATGGATATTTTTCTTGCATGTATATTTGCACCACTTGCATACCTATTGCCCACAGAGGTTAGAAGGCTATTTCAGATCCCCTGAAACTAGAGACAGCTATGAGCAGCCATGCAGGTCCTGGGATCAATCTCAGAGGATGAACACAAACTAAATTGAATATCTGGTTTGAAAATATTTCCTTCTAAATTGAGCCGCTTTTGCATTCTGTATAGTATCCTGAAACTTAACATTTTGCTTTAAATTTTAAACCAGGGGTGATGGCAAGCATGCCTTTAATCTCATTACTTGGGAGGTAGAGGCTGGAGGATTTCTGCAAGTTTGAGTCCATCCTACTTTTTATAGTGAGTTCCAGCACAGCAAGAGCTATGTAGTGAGATCCTGCCTAAAACAAGCAACAACAACAAAACTCCCCAAACCCCAAAATAGCCAGATTGTATGTAGCACATGCCTTTAATCCCAGCACTCAGGAGGCAGGATGTAGAAGTGGGTTTGTTAAGGTGGAAGCTAAAGTCAATGATTTAGGAACCACTTTCTTTTCTAACATCTAAGAACTAGAAATTTCCTCATTAATACTGCTTCATTAGCATCCTATAAATTCTATGTTGTATTTCCATTTAAAATATAAGTTCACTTAAAATATCTTTTTAATATATCTTTCTTAGATTATAGAGCAAATATATGATTATTATTTTAAAAAGCAAGCATTTCAAAGGTGTATAATTATCAATGAAATTTGAATTATTGATCTTTGAAAGAAAAGATTGGTTTTAAAATAATTTTTCTCCAGTAGAAATGAAGACAGACCTGAATTTACTGTTGGAATGTCTGAAGTATCACATGGGCAACCCTTTGTCACAAAAGGAAGTTTTGATCACTATTCATTCAGTTTGTCAACAAAACAGTAAGACATAATAATGAATTTTAGTCATAATTCTATTGTTTTTCCTTTTTTCCTTCCTGCTTCCCTCCCTTCATCTCTCTCTTTCAGTGTATGCCTTTCTTTCCCTCTCTTCTCTCTTTTTCTTTCTTTCATTTCATATCCTCAAGTAACACAGGATGGTGTTGTAGAATATCATTTTAAGGTGTATTAAATTTGTTTTTGCTCTGGAACATTTGTTCAATGATGTAAAGATGTGTTTCTTTTGTTTATGCTGCATTTGTTTAACTTTGCCTGTCTAAAACACCTGATGTTTTAATAAAGAGCTGATTGGCCAGTAGTGAGGCAGGAGAAAAGATAGGCAGGCTGGCAGGCAGAGAGAATAAATAGGAGGAGAAATCTAGGAAGAGGAAGAAAGGGGCAAGCTAGCACAAGGAGGGGAGTATGTCAGGGCCCAGCCACCCAGCCACCCAGCCACCCAGCCACCCTGCCACCCTGCCACCCTGCCACCCTGCCACCCAGCCATGGAGTGAGAGTGAAAGTAAGATAGACAGAAGTAAGAAAAGGAAAAAGCCCAGAGACAAAAGGTAGTCAGAATAATTTAAGAAGAACTGGCAAGAAACAAGCCATGCTAAGGCTGGACTTTTATAAGAAAGAAAACGCCTCCATGTGTGTGGTTTATTTGGGAGGCTGGTGGCAGGCCCCAAAAGAATAAAAGAGCCCAAAGAGAAAGAGTAAAAAACAATCAACAACAAGTTGATCTTAAACTCTTGATCCTCCTGACTGGGAGGATCCTCTCCAGCACTGGGAAAGCACACATGTAACACCAACCCACAACCCACTCTGATTCCAGTACTGTAATATGTTAATATGCACGGCTGTTTCTCTTCTACTTCACGTATGTGTTATCCATTTGATTCTTTTATCCTTAACCAAATAATTATAATTTATATCTTGTTTTATCTGCAAATCCTACAGGTGATGCAGGTGTTTATTTCCGAGAAATTGGTGGTTTGATGTTTGTAAAAAATCTTGCAAAGTCAAGTGAGCATAGCATGGTAAAAGAAGCAGCCTTATACACATTAGGATCTATTGCAGAAGAAAATGGTAAAATATAAAATTTTATTTTTATGTCCTTAAAATAATTTTAAATAAATATTTAGTTTTTATTTCTTTATTTAAAGGTGAATACCACCACATCTGGCTTGACTCTCATTTTTTAGGGTTATTTTGTTTGTTTCCTATGTTTTTTCTTTTTTCTTTTTTAAGTTTTACTATAAAACACAGGCTGGCCTTGAATGTATAGTTCTCCCGTTTTGCTTCCTAAGTATTGGGATTGCAGCATGCCTAGTGTTATTTTGAACTTTGAAAGACTTTTGCACTTTCAAACATCTTAAGAAATACCATAAATATTGCTTGTCCCTCTGTTTTCCTAAGCAGATAATTTAATTTCTTTAAGTTTTTTTTTTTTTTTTTTTCCCCAAGACAGCGTTTTTCTCTGTAGTTTTGGAGTGTGTCCTGGAACTCACTCTGTAGACCAGGCTGGTCTCAAACTCAGAGATCTGTTTCTGCCTCCCGAGTGCTGAGATCAAAGGTCTGTGCCACCACTGCCCAGCTAAAGTGTTTTTTTGTTTTGTTTTGTTTTCTTGCTTTGTTCTTTGCTTGTCTCACTTGGCCTCACTTTTCACTTCTACTTGGTCCAGTTTTCATTTTTTATTTGGTTGGGATTTTATTGGCAATTCAAGAATGTTTGCTTTGGAGCTTAGACTAAGTCATTTTGATTAAGATATTCCTGGTTTGGGGCTGGCTAGATGGCTTAATAGTTAAAGGTGCTTGCCTGAGTTTGATGTGTGGAACTCATGTGAAGGAAAGAGAGAACTAACTCCCATAAGTTGTCCTATGATTCATAAGAGCATTGTGGTATGTCTGTACCTGTTGGTGGACACAAACACTATGCACATGTGCACACACACAAGTAAATAAATAAATGTAATTTTAAAAAATTTAAATATTGCTAATTTGGTTTGTTAAGTAAGCACATATCAAGTTTTCATAGATTTTATTGTTTGTAGTATATGTCAATTAAATGACATCTAGTTAAGAAGCAGCCCCAGTTTGACAACTTGTGTTTTGTTCAATGTATTTTTTGTGCTAATATATTAAAATGAAAATTATATTTTATGTTTCAGTTTACTGTCAGCAAACTTTGTGTACTTCAGAGTTATTTCAAGATTTAAGTTGGTTCTTATCTAATGATGATTCCAACACTAATTTGAAAAGAATGTCCGTCTATGTTCTTTTGGTTCTGGTTTCTAATAATAGTAAGTACAGTGTTTTATGAATGTTTAAAAACATTTTAATATGTTCTATGGAATAGTCATTAATATTTTTATTCTAGTCGTGCTTGTTATATTAGTGCCTTTTTTTTAAAGACAGTTTCACTGTGTAAACTGTGGTGATCTACCTGCCTCTACTTCCCAAATATATTTGTGAGTTTTTAGTCTCATTAACATGCAAGAGATACTACCTCTAAGGAAGGCATTAATAGTATACATTTAATCACATGATATTTGTTAATTTTAATAAATAGTGATTTGTACTACTTAATCTTTAAAAAGAAAAACAAGTATTTAATGAATTGGTTGTCTTTTCACTGAATTGATCATTTTGTTACAAGATTTACTGTATTAGGCCTCAATGGTATTTATTTGGGGATAGTTTTAAATTTATTGAAAATTTGAAAATAAGCCCTGCAGTGATGGTGCACACCTTTAATCCCAGCACTTGGGAGGTAGAGGCAGATGAAACTCTGTGAGTTCAAGACCAGCCTGGTCTGCAAGAGCTAGTTCCAGGACAGGCTCCAAAGCTACACAGAGAAACCCTGTCTCGAAAGACCCCCTCAAAAAAAAGAAAAGTTGAAAAATTAGTCTGAAGCATTCGTGTGTAGCTAGTTAGGACTTTTCATGTGTATGTTTGTACATATGCATGTGTGTGTGGGCTTGATGTAGAACCTAGAGGTTGATGCTGGGTACTTTCCTCAACAATTTCCACTTTTTTTTTTTTTTTTGAGATACGGCCTCTGGAGGTTTCCATTTTGACTAGACTGATTGCCCAGCAAGCCCCAGGGATCAGACACAAGCTAATGTGCTACTGTGTCTGGCTTTTTATTTTTTACAAGGGTGCTGGGGACCAAACTCAGTTCTTTATGCTGCCACTTTACTGACAGCCAACTCCGCAATCCCTTTATTTTTAAAAAACTATTAAGCATTTTGTAATTTTTAGAGGAAAACTGAATGCTGTAAGTAGCTGAGCATAGTATATTTTCCATAATAAAATTGTAATTCTGTAAACTTTATAATATTTTAAAGTATCTTAAAAGGGAATTAAAATATTTTTAAATATCTTAATTTCTATAGAATTATTTCTAAATAAAAGTCATATTCATGTTATATATGTCTATTTTCAAGGGAATGGACAAACGCTTGTAAGAGAAACCGGTTGCATTAAAGTTCTGTCACAGTTGTTCAGGTATGTAAGTAAAATGTCTTATTATTCATTGTTTAGGACATTAGTGCATTTGTAATTTATTACCTATTTCTTTTCAACCCAATAGGACAGTTCTTCCAAATTATGAATTGAATTTGTCAGATAATAATGTGTTCCAGAGTTATCTGTTGTGGGCTTCAGTGTGCAGTACTCTGTGTGTCTGTGTCAACAATCCTCAAAATGGTAATTATTTCAACTACTTAAATACAAATATAAAAACAAATGGTGACTAATATTTTGCAAAAGTCAAAATAAAACAAGCTTGGCTTTCCTTCTTTCAGATGAGAATCAAATGCTTTGTTGTTTACTTTTTCCGTATGCTAATGAATGGCTAATGAATTGCATGAAACCTGAGATAATTCGACCTCTATGCTCATTTATTGGACTTACTCTTGCAAATAATAGTAAGTATTCATTATTTTCTAGGTTGTACATTAAGAACTGTATTTCGAAGCATAACAAAAAACGACTAAATTCAATTAATGATTTCGATGTTTCTACTTTGGACCATTATAGATATACTTAGACTTTTGTGTGAGATAAGGTCTCACTGTGTAGCCCTGGCTGGCCTGGAACTCACTGTATAGGCCAGGCTGACCTCAAACAGATACTGACCTGCCTCTGCCTTGAGTTCTTGGATAGACTTTTGAAGGTAAGAAAATCTTGGAAGTAGATATTATTGGGAGGCCATTGGAAAGATGGTGACAGCAGCATAGTTGTTTCTTGAAAGATGGGTGTTTGAGAATGGTCTCCTATAGCCCAGACTGGCTTATAGATCTCTTTCTATATATAAACTAAAGATGATCCTTCTTTCCATACCTTCTAAGTTCTGGGAATATAAATATGTACCACTATACCCATTCTACATTATAGTTTGTTGTTTTGCTGTTTTTAACTTTCCTAAATACCCTCATGAAATAGAGCAATGAAATAACAAAACTAAAACCTCAGAGGATGTACAATCTGACCAAAAATGGAATTAAGTTAGAAATGAAAAAAGAAATCATGGGGTCAGTGAGATGGCTCAGTCTGTAGAGGCTCTTGCCATTTAATATGATGCAAATCTTATGATTCAAGTTTGATCCTCAGAACCTACATAAAGGTACAAGGAGAGAACTGACTCCACAAAATTGTTCTCTGACCGCTATTAGTGCATGCACACTCACAATGCCATTATAATAAATACAATTTTTTATATTTAAGTAACATTTATTCTTTAAAAATATAACAAAATAAACTATATAAGATAAAATAAAAACTATCACATCAGAGTTGGGTAAGACAAATAGGAGGAAAAGAGTCCAAGAGAAGATAAAAGAATCACAGGCCCACTTGATTTCATACTCAGAAATCCCATAAAAATGCTAAACTAGAAGCCATAGTATATCTTCAAAGGATCTGGTGCAAACCTATGCTGGTCTGGTACATGCTGCCTCAGTTTCTGTGAGTCCTTATGAGCTTTGTTCATATTGATTTAGAGGGCCTGTTTTCTTGATGTTCTCCATCCTCTCTGACTTACACTCTTTCTACCATTTCTTCCTAGGGGTTTCCTGAGCCCCGAGGGGATGGATTTGATAGACATATCCCATTTAGGGCAGAGTATTCAAAGGTCTCTCACTCTCTGCATAATGTCTGGCTATGGGTCTCTGTATTTCTTTTCATCTGCAGGAGGAAACTTTTCTAGTGATGGCTGAGCAAGGCATGATCTGCTTCCCTGGTCAGAGCATAATGAAATTTTTAAATGAACAACAACAAAAAACCTTGACAGGTTGACTGATAGCCACATATGTGGTTATTAAAGACTAGATTTCAAAGCCAGGCAGAGGTGGTGATGCACGCCTTTAATCCCAGCACTCGAGAGGCAGAGCTAGTTCCAGGACAGCCTCCAAAACCACAGAAAAACCCTATCTCAAAAAACAAAAACAAACAAACAAACAAAGACTTCTAGAGATTGTGGAAAGCTGACTGATAAAGATTGCTAAAAGTTGAAGGCTAGCCTGGGTTACATATATAGTGAGTTTCAGGCCAGACTCAGTTACAGTGTGATGCGATGTCTTCAACCTCCCCAACCTACCCCCTTTCAAAAGATCTGAATTACCAATCCAAATTACCATGAAAAGTGACATCACTATATTTTGTTTCTAGTTTTTATTTGATGTGTATGAGTGTTTGTCTATATGTATGCCTATGTACTACATGTGTGCCTGGTGCCAATGAAGGCCAGAAGAGGGAGTTGGTTTCCATGGGATTGGAGTTACAGACATTTATAAATTACCGCTTGAGTGCTAGGAATCAAACCCACCATGTCTTCTGTAAGGGCAGCCAGTTCTCTTAACTGCTGAGCCAGCTCTCCATCACTCACTCAAGAACTATAATAATTAAGCAAAATATTAGTAGAAACAGTTTTACACATGCAATTAGACAATTCTAATGAATTGGACAAAGTCTTTAAAATATAGAAATTACTAGAACTTACTCAAAAGAAATAGGTAACTTGAATATTCCTCTATCTGGGTTTTGTTTGTTCTTTTTTATTTTGAAGTGTTTTTTTTCCTTAATTTTTATGAGTATGAGATTTGCCTGTATGCCAATGTGTACAGTGCCTTTGGAGACCAAAAGAGGGTATAAATGCCCCTGAAATTGGAGTTACAGTTGTGAGCTGCCATGTGGATGCTGGGAACTGAACCAACATCCCCTCCCTTTAAGAGGAGAGAGTGCTCTTAACCAGTGAGCCATCTCTCCAGCCCCATGTTTGTTATTTTTTTCAGGATAGGATTTTATATAGCTCAGGCTAGCCTTGAACTTGCTATGTTGCTGAGGCTGAACGTGAACTGGTTCTCCCTTCCACCTCCAAAGTGCTGAGATTGAAGGCACTTTAATCTGGCCATCACATCTGACTCCATAGTTATGTATCAAAGAAACAGAATTCATGAATTAAAGCTGTAATAACACAGGAGAATTTCAAAGTCTGATAATTTTACTAGTAAATTCTACCAAACATTTCAGGAAAAAAGCTCCCACAATTCTACATAAGTTATTCCTAGTAATAGAAGTGGAAGAAAGTGTATCAAAAATGAATAAAAGACCCGGAAACTGGGGGGCCGGAGAGATGGCTCAGAGGTTGGGAACACTGACTCTTCCAGATGTCCTGAGTTCGGTTCCCGGCAACCACATGGTGACTCACAACCATCTGTAATGAGATCTGGTGCCCTCTTCTGGTGTGCAGATATACATGGAAGCAGAGTGTTGTATACATAATAAATAAAATAAAATCTTTAAAAAAAGAAAAAAAAAAAAAAGACCCGGAAACTGATATTGGGGTTCAAGTTCAAACTGAAATTCAGAAAAACAAAGAAGCTAGCTACTAGCTCTCACCTCTATGTAGCTCAAGCTGAAAGGGCTGATCCACAAGCTCTTCACCAAGCCTCAAACTGCTGCCTCTCCTTAGTGTGGTTGGAGAATGAATCTGATATTGACCCTGTTCCTGTCTTAAATACCTCTTGTGAGTCCTGGGATTAAAGATATGAGCTCTAATTCTCTTTTAGACTAATTGACTCTAATGTATCCCTGGGTGGTCTTGGATTCACAGAGATCTGTCTCTCTCTTAATCCTGAGTCTTAGGATTAAAAGTATGTACCACCACCTCCTAGCTTCAGGCTGCTAGGATTAAAAGTGTGTGCCTAGCTTTTATGGCTTGTGGCTGAGTTTGCTTTCTAAATCCTCAGGCAAGCTTTAATAAATCATAAATAATATATCACTACAAAGAATACTTTTGAATACATTCTATAAGGCTAGCATTATACCCAAGCCAAAAGAAGGCATTACAGCCGGGCAGTGGTAGTTTATGCCATTAGTCCCAGCACTTGGGAGGCAGAGGCAGGTGGATCTCATGAATTCCAGGACAGCCAGGTCTACAAAGTGAGTTCCAGGCCAGCCAGGAATGTTACACAGAGAAACCCAGTCTTGAAAAAACAAAACAAAACAAAAAAAGGCATTACAACAAAATTATAGGTCAATATTATTAACATAGGTATAAAAAAATACTATTTGCTTATATAAGACAGAGCTTAATGTAATCTGGTTGGCTTCAGATTCTCTGTGTAGTCAAGAATAACCTTGAACTCCTGAACTTCTTGCCTCTACCTCACCAAATGCTGGAATTACAAATGTGCACCATGATTCTTGGTTTATGTGTTTCTAGGAGTTGAACCCACTGCTTTCTAACCAATTCTGAGTTATATTGCCCTCCCTAGATTAAAAATTATATAATAATATTTAAAAATCAACTGATTGCCACCAGTTTAAGTCTATCCTGATCTACATAATGAATTCCAGGCTGGTCTGAGCTCAAAAAGTATTTTCTAACCACATGGAGAAAAGATAATACGTTATGACCAAGTGGCCTATCTCAAAGGAGTGCAAGATTGGTTTAATATTATAAAACTATAGTCACAGACTAGAAAAAAGAACTATATGATAACCTTAATAGAGGGAAAGTATTATTCGTATGTAACATGTCTTCATAATAAGAATTCTTGGTAAACTAGGAATGGAAGGGAACATGGTATGATAAGGTCTATATATAATGCTACATGTAACTGCTATTCTCATTATTTTTATTTAATATTAGATATTTCTAGCCAGTGAAATAGGGCAAGAAAGTGAAATAAAATTCATAGAGGTTGAAAGGAAGGAATTTTTCCCATAAGTGATGTAATTGTGTGTGTGTGTGTGTGTGTGTGTGTGTGTGTGTGTGTGTGTGTGTGTATCCAGATACACTACTACAGTTAATAGTGATTTTAGGAAGGTTTCAGAATACATGGACATACAATTGCATTTCTATATGCCCCAACAAGTTATTGAGACCTTAAACTGTCATTTGTGTGTATGTGTATGTTGGGGGTGTATATTTGTATTAACATGTGGCTGCAGGTACACTTCCCTGTGCATTTCAATGTGGAGGTGAAGGAATAACTTAGGGTATTTTCCTCTATCACTCTTTACCATACTTTCTGAGACAGGTCTCTCACTGAAATTTGAGCTTGTTGTTTCAACTAGACTTGCTGACAAACAAGCCCCTGGAACCTGTCTATTTTGTTTCTCCAGCACTTGGGGGATATAGGCACACAGTGCCTTGTCCAGCTTTTATCTTCTATGTAGTTATTGGTGACCCAAACTCAGGTCCTTATGTTTGCTGGCAAGTGCTTTGCCCATTGTGCCATTTCCCCAGTCCCCATCATTTTTAATAATGTGTTTAAAAAAGAAAAAAAAAAAAAAAGGAAGGAAAAGAGCTAGCTTGGGGTTAAAGAGATGGATCAAAAAGTAAGAGTACTTACTACTCTTGTAGAGGACCCAGGTTCAATTCTCAGAACCCATATGGCAGCTCACAACTGTAACTCTAGTTCTAGAGGATCCAGTACCCTCTTTGGGCCTCTGTGGGTGCACATGGTACCCATACATACAGGCAGACATGCATATACACGAGACAAAAGTAGATAAATCTGAGGGGGAAAAAAAGATAGTGTGATACACAAAGTTATCCCATTACTTGAGAGGCTAAGGCAAGTGGATTGCAGTGAGTTTGAGACCATAATGGATTACATAGTGAATTAGAGACTAGCCAGCCTAAGCTACAGAGAGATACCCTACCTTAAAAAATGAAAATACTTGACTAAATACTTCAGTGTAAATTTAATGAAATATATGTGATGTCTGTGCTATCATTTTCATAAATGTCTCCCAAAGACCCATATATTGAAGGCTTTGTCCTCAGCTTATAGTGCTATTTGGAACTTATGGAATCTTTAGGATGTAGGTCCTAACAGAAATAAGTCATTAAGATGTACCATTGAAGAGAATGTAAGAACCCTGGATTCTCTCTGTTTTTGCCTCCCTGGCTCCACCAGGTGATCAGGAGATGTAGCTTAGTGACAAAGTCTTTTTTTTAAAATGATTTATTTATTTTATGTACATTGATGTTTTGCCTGCATGTATGTCTGTGCAAGGGGGTCAGATCCCCTGGAGGTAGAATTACAGACAGTTGTCAGCTGCCGTGTGGGTGCTGGGAATTGAACCTGGGTCCTAAGGAAGAAGAGCCAGTGCTCTTAACTACTGAGCCATCTCTCCAGCAGTGGCAGTGTCTTACATTCTGTGTATATGTTTCTGATTTCAGTCACTAGCACCAAATAAATAAGTGAATAGTGTTAGATATGATATTATTTTATGTTAATATCTCTTATTTATAATACAAAATTAATATTTGCTTTTAATCATCTCAGATTTTAAATCATCATCCTTAGAACTAGGCTAAGCTAAACTAGGAAAAAGTTTTGTGGCAGGATTTTAACTACTAGCCTCATTGCCATTGGTCATAAGCCTGTTTCTAAGATAGGAGCATAGGAGCTGTAAAGATACGGACTTCAGAGCTTCAGGGGATTCTTTCTCATTATTATTTTCAAACTAGGGCGTGGTGGCACATACTTATAATATCAGTTGGGAAGAAGCAGCAAGAATGAAGCAAGCCTGGGGTATATAGTAAGACCTTGCCTCAAAAAAATATTATATATACATATATATATATATATATACATATATATAATACATTTTGTATATATATATATGTGTGTATACCTGTCACTGAATCTTTGATCAATGATATATTAGAATTTTGTGCTCCAAGAAGAAATACAACTAAGTGTAAATAAAAGGCATATATGGCTAGGTGTTGTGGTGTACTCCTTTAATTCTAGCACTTAGGAGGCAGAGGCAGAGGCAGAGACAGAGGCAGGGGCAGGGGCAGGGGCAGGGCAATGTCTGTGAGTTCAAGGCCAGCCTGGTTTACATAGTGAGTTCCAGGACAGCTAGGACTGTATAGAGACCCTGTTTCTCAAAAACAAAAACAAAAAACAAAAAACAAAAAACAAAACCCAAAACCAAAAAAAAAAACAAAAAAAAAGCCAAAAAATGTGTTTTTGAAACAATGAAACACATTGTTATTTATAGAGTAAAGCAATATGAGATATCAGTTACATTGGAATTTAGAAAGCAATTGCTAATTATAATACCAAGATAAATGAATGAATATGTTCTTTCATTGTTATCATGTTGTTAGGGTCCTGCTATAAATCCAGGCTACAGCTTATCTTTTCCCCCCTGCCTTTATAGGACTAAGATGATAGGCCTAAACTACTTTTCCATTCCTTGCCCCCTACCGAATCTATTCTTTATAGTGCTACTGAAATACTTGTTTAATAACTATGAAGGATAGTTTAATCATACCACAGAACACACCAGTTCTCACAAGTGAACTAAAAGATCTCCTACACAAAACAAAGTACTATCCTACTATACATACAATTGTACCGTGTCAAGAAGTGTTACTGTGTTTATATGTATGGATGTGTATGCACATATGCATATAAATAGAATTTTTAATTATGTAATTTTTGAGAGTCTCAGTATTTGAAAAGCCAAATTAAAAGTACTCATTGTAAAATAATTGAATGAAACCATATACCTGCCTGTTTTGAAATATTAATGTTTTTCTACTTTATTCCTTAAGCACATGTTCAGAACTGCTTTGTATCTTCTGGTGGACTGGATGTTTTGTCTCAAGTTCTTGTGCAGCTGGAGTCTGATTCACACAATACTTCTTCCAGTGCTAAGCTTGCAGTGGTAGTGACAAAGACCGTGGATGCATGTATTACTAATAATTGTGAGTGAAAATTGAGCTTTGTTTAAACTGAAATGGTGAATGTTGAAATGCTACATTAAATACTATTGGAGGCAAAATTTCCAACTTCTTACAAATGGAAAGGAATCTTAGAAATTGCCTATTTCAGTTCCTTGTTTTCCCATCAGAAGTTACAGCTTCCCTAAGAATGAACATCTTCATCTTTTGACTTTAGGTCTAATAAGAATCAAAATAAGATCCTATTATTCTTAAGTCATTATTTTACTTAAAAAGCTGTTTGAGCTAGATGTGGTATAGTGAATGCCTTTATCCCAATATTTGCAAGGCAGAGGCAAGTGGATCTCTTTGAGTTCCAGGCCAGCCACGGTAACACAGTGAGACCTTGTCTAAAAAGAAAAAGCAACTTTAATTAAAAGAAAACTTTAGATGACAAATCAAACTTGGTTTTCCAGCACCCAAACTGGGCAGCTCACAACCACCGTTACTCCAGCTCCAGGGGATCCAACACCTTCTGGCCTCAGCAGGCACCTACAAACATAAGTGGCATATACTTATATAGAGAGACACATATATATCTCTTAAAAAATTGAAACATGCCTTTGTAATGAGTGAGCAGCAGAACTAGAACTACAGATATATCTTCTCATTTGTACAAACACTCAGAATAATAGTCTGTAAATCCTTGTAATAAGGAACCCTTTACATTCACAAACAAGCCAAAAAGTAGATGATTGAGTTTTTAAAGATTTATTTTTGTGAGCCACCATGTCAGTGCTAGGAACTGAATCTGAGTTGTCTTTTGTAAGACCAGCAAGTTCTCTTAACTACTGAGCCATCTCTCCAGCCCCTAGATGGCTGTTTAATAAGCAGTTAATGAATACCTGCTGTGTTCTGAGTCCCAAAGACATAAAAGTAGTTGAGATATAGTCCCTTGAACCATGAGATGTATCAGCAGGTAGAGGCTCCTGCTGCCAAGCCTCATAACCTGTGTTCAATCCTGAAGCCCACATGGTAAAAGGAGAAAACTGACTCTCTAGATAAAGTTGTCATTTGACCTCTGTATGTGTACCATGGCATATGTGCTATGAAAAATTAAATGATATAGTTCCTTGAGGAATTCACAACTTTATTGTTCATACCAGTATTATTAGACTCTGCATGTACCCTGTTAAAAGCCCTATTAAGGCCATGCAGGGTAGTACATACCTATAATCCCAGCATTTAGGAAGTAAAGGCAGGAAGATAAGTTCAGGGTTAGCCTCTGTTTAATAATAAATTTAAGGCCATCCTGGGCTGTTTAAGACCCTGTCTCAATAAAAAACAAAATAAATACCTTAAAAGGAAAAGTATAGCTTAATAGACTTCTTGAATGTCATCAGAGTTCATAATAGGTTTATGTAACCTTCATTGAATCATTAACATTAGTAGTGTCATAATGTACTATTTCAATGTCAAGCAGGATTTGATTATCTAGTAATGCCCTTACTGTCTAGGAGATATGTAAGATAAGGAGATATGTAAAATAAGAATAGGTAGGTATATTCACCTTTTAGGAATATAGCATTAGTTTGTGTTTATGTCATGTAAAACAACTAAGAAGAAACCATTAAAAAAGAAGAGGAACATAAGCCAGACAGTGGTGGCACGCTCATTTAATCCCAGCGCTCTGGAGGCAAAAGCAGGTGGATCTCTGTGAATTTGAGTCCAATTTGGTCTATAGAGCTAGTTTTAGGGCACCCAGCTCTACAAAGAGAAATCCTCAATAAAAGAAACCAAAGAACAAAAACAAAACAACAAAAACCATAAGACTAGTCATGATGGTGCACACCTTTAATCTAGAGAGACAGAGGCAGGGGAATTTCTGTGAGTTTGAGGCCAGCCTGGTTTATGTAGAGAGTTCTAGGTCATCCAGGAATACATAGAGAAACCCTGTCTCAAAACAAAAATAAAAAGAATATATAATGAGGGCCATACATAAGCTATGGTCTTATAATGTATGTATTTAAATTGAGATGTGTATATATATATATTGGCTGCTATATGACATATATATATTAGATAATATATAGGCATATGATATTCTTCCTGAATAAGCTCTGAAATAGTACATGTATACTTAGAAATTTTAAATTTGTACTTTTTTTCCCCCCATCTTAAACTAGTAGCTACTTTTTCATTGATATTATCCAAATACCACATTGTTTCAAAACTTCTGGCCTTACTGCTTCATGAGAGTCTTGATTCAGGGGAAAAATTTAGCATCATACTTGCCATTGGTCACTGCACAGAGGATTGTGGTAAGTATTCAGTTAATTCAGTGTGTGTACTAAAACAGTGGGGTAGAAACATGCTTTTGCTTCTTTCCCCTTATTGTATGAAACACTTAAAATCCAGCTTTTCTCCCAGCCAGTTAAGCTCCTATTTTCTTTCTCATAATCTCTTAGTCAGAGGCCACTGGTAGTACTTTTCTTTTTCACTCCATATTTCTTTCCTTTGCCCCAAGGCCACTGCTACCTTTCACTAGTACAACTGTAACAGCTAACCTCATCTGCTCTTTCTTGTCTCTCTCAACTTTCAGTCTTCTTGCTGAGTCAGTATACGGATCTAATCCTGTTATCACTCACTGAAAACCTGAAGGCCAGTTTTTCTAACCTTCAATGAAAACTTTAAAAGGTTTTGTTTCCTCTTTCTATTTCTATCTTAGTCTCCCTCTAATTCATTTTGCCAACAGTCTCCACTTTGCTCTCTTTTAATCATTTCCCTTCTTCCTCTCACTTTCCCACTACTCTCTTTCCTTATTTTTTGTTTTCTCTATCAGTTTCTCTATTTTTTCTTTTAACCTTTTAAGAATGTTTTTATTTATGCGTATGTATGTTTGTATCTCTGGGTGCCCATAGAGGCCATAAGAGGAGTGCTAGAGTCAGAAGTGAGTATGAACCACTTGATGTGGATATTGGAAACCAAACTTGGGTCCTTTGCAAGAGAAGCAAGTACTCTTAACTACTGAGTCATCTTTCCAGTCCTTACTCTTGATCCTTTTTTGATACCAAATGAGAGATATTTGATTACTCTTATGAGGTGTGGTAACATTATGAGACTTATATAGCTTGTGCAAACAGATAGCTAAACTGAAAATATTTTTGAGATTATATTTTTTAAAGTTTGAATTATGTTCATAATTATCACAGTGATGAATCATGACCTCATACGAAGCTTTATAAACTTTATAAAAAAATAATCACCATTTTAATTTTTTATATTTTTACAGAGGAAAATCAGTATGAACTTTTAAAAAGCAATGGGCTTCCACTAATGATACAAGCCTTAACTGAATTTAAGAATGAAGAACTAAACAAAGCTGCCATTTATGTGCTTCACAACTGCAAAAAAATTAGTAAGTTTACTGTTACTTTAGGAAAATATCAACTAGCTGGACAGGGTAGTGCACACCTTTGTCCTAGCCCTGGGAAGCAGGGGCAGGCAGAGTCCCCGTGAGTTCAAGGCCAGCCAGGCCCACATAGTAATTCACTATCACAAGCAAACAAAAACCCTAAAATATCAACTACCAGGTATAGTGACACACAACATTTAATTTCAGAACCAGAGGCAGGCACATTTTTGTATGTTCAAAGCCAACATGAATTACATAGTGAGACACTATTCCAAAGTAAAAGAAAGGAAAGAAAATAACCAGTGTTGCTAAAGTGTATGTACTGTGATGATCCAAGCTGTTTTAGATTCCAAGTTTTTTTTAGGCTTGAAAAGAGCAGACATTCCCAGCACTTGGAGGCAGAGGCAGACAGATTTCTGTGAGTTGGAGACCAGCCTGATCTACAGAGCTATTTCCAGGCCAGCGAAGGCTACATAAAGAAACCCTATATTGAAAAAACCAAAAAACAAAAGAATACATAATTTGGAAATTACAATTAGAGCATTTTCAACGTACTCAAGCCTATGTAGAAGACAACATCCAGATAGCAGTAGCTGAGAGAATCCACTTACTTTATGCCTCGTGTTATATTTCTGAATCATAATATAAATTACATTTGTTCGTTGGTTTAAAGTATTGGAATTTCTATCATGTGCTAAGTACCATGAAAAGCACTGGGATTGAGGGCTGTGTTATAAGCAAACTGTGGGCCTATAAGTTTAGTCTAAGTAAAGAAATAGTAATTCTAAAAACAGATTAGATATTGTTATAAATTGACATAACAATTATGAGGGTGTATAGTACGGATACTTAGCAATACTCTATAGCAAAGTGATTGATCTGACCCAGATTTTAAGCAGCAAAGGTTTTGGGAGAAAGGGCCCAAAATCACTAGAAGAAACAGATCTGAATGTCTAGAATTAATCATGTGAAAAGAGAAAATGTGCTATGGGCAAATGGCTCAGGCCTAAGCAACAGGTCCTCAGGAGGGAAACTGTTTTTCAAAGAATTGATGAGCAGTCTAGTTGGAGCCCAGAGAGCTGGTAGTAGCTATAAGATTTCTTTGTGAACCAAAAACTGTGGACATAATACATTTTTAAAAGACTATATTTTAAGCACATCTGTGTTCCCTAGTTTGCTTTCTACTGTTATATTAAGCCTTATGTCCAAAAGCAACTTGGGGAAGAAAGGGTTTATTTCAGCTTACACCTTACAGTACATCGTTAAGTGAAGTAAGGACAGGAACTCAAGGCAGGAAACTGGAGACAGGAACTGAATCAGAGACCATGGAGGAATACTGCTTACATAGCTTGGTTAGCTTGCTTTTGTATTTAACACAGGACCATCTGCCCAGGGATTAATCAAGAAAATGCCCCCACAGACTTGTCTACAGGCAATCTGATTTAGAGGCATTTTCTCAGCTGAGGTTCCCTCTTCCCAGATGACTCTAACTTACATCAAATGAATGAAAAACTAACCAAAACAATTTACTTTTGGACTAGAGATGAGCTTAGTGATAGATATGCTTAGCATGTGATTGACTCTGACTTTAATTCTCGAATTCCAAACAGACTTCTTTATTGTCAGTAACCTTGTATCTGGAATAACATTTTCATGTGTTATTTTCCAAAACTATGAAAAGTAGAGTCTAATTTTTGACTAAATCCTAGGCCACTGTCATACTTCCACTTACTTTCAGTGGAAATATACCAATTATTGTATGTGGGTATACAGTTTAAAGATGGGATGAGGTGGAATATGTAGTTGTCCTTAAAGTGTGATAGCATTTCTAGCAATGATAAATTTACTATTCCCTTTCCCCTGTCTCTCCCTCTTCACCCCCCTGTGCATCCCATATTACAAAGCTGAGAAATTATCTCTAAGTCAAGGAGAGAATTCTTTTAGTGAAAATGAAGCAGACCAAATAAAGGGCATAAATGAAAAAGAGAATGTTGAAGAGCATTGGAAGTCAGCAAAGGAAATTATATGCAGAATGAAACAGCTTGAAAGAGAAGGAAAAGAGGTTGGTTTTTTTTATTTCATTTCACAGACTATAAAACTCTGTGCAAATACTTTAAAACAATAGAGGTTGGCAGTAAAAAATTTTTTCTCCAGTTATTTTTTTAAAATGTTTAATGTAAAATTTAATAGTAATGCTTAAAGGACTCAACCTTGGACATAGAGCAAATTTTTTACATTTTTTCTGTATTATTAAAAAAGATTCTATTTTTATTCATGTGTGGGGGAGTGGTGTGTGTGTGTGTGTCTAAATGCCTGAAGTGTCCAGAAGAGGACACTGGATCCCCTGGAGCTAGAGTTATAGGTGGTCTTGAGCTGCCTGACATGGGTGCTGGTATTTTAATTCATAGCCTCTAGAAAAGCAGCAATAATTTCTAACTGCTGAGTTGTCTTTCCATGTCCTATTTATTTTGTGTTTACTTTTATTTATATGTATATGCACACCACAGATTTAAGGGAGCCCTAAAAGAAAGACAGAAAAGGGTGTCAAATCCCCTTGAGTTAGGCTTACAGGTAGTTATGAGCCACTTAATGTGGATGCTAGGAACTGAACCCAGGTCCACTGCAACAAATGGTATGTTCTCTTAGCCACTGAGCCATCTCTTCAGCTCCTAAATGATTTTTTTAGTTTTAACCTAATGTGCATGGGTGTTTTATCTTCATTTATGTCTGTGTACCACATGCATGCCTGGTGCCCAGAAGGCCAGAAGAGTGCATCAGATCTCCTGGGACTGCAGTTAGTTACAGTTGTGAGCCACCTGGGAATCAAACCTGGGCCATTTGATAGATCAGTTACTGCTCTTAACCCTTGAGCCATTACTCCAGCTCTCCCAAATGATGATTTTTAAAGGGAGGTAGGGGTGTGTGTGTGTGTGTGTGTGTGTGTGTGTGTGTGTGTGTGTGTGTGTGTACATGGATGCCTGTGGAGTCCAGACTTGGGTGTCAGATTTCCTGGAACTGGAGCTACAGGTGATTGTGAACAGCCCAATGTGGGTGCTGGTAACTGAACTCAGGTTCTCTGGAAGAGCAACAAGCTTTCTTAAGCACTGACTCATCCATCTTTCTAGCCCCCTAAATGATTCTTTGGAAAGTAGAAATCGTAACAGGAAAGGCTAGCTACACACAAGATAAAACTAAGAAATCTAACATCTGAATAATAGTTCAACAAATTTTCAGAAGAAACAATCTAATTTCCATCCCTCTCCCCACTCCAGTCTTGTATCTAAACTGTAGGGGTATGGTCTGACAAATGCATCAGTGGATAATTCCATCATTGCACAAGCATGACAGTAATTTCTCAAACTAAATGATAATGATCAAGAGATTCGATAAATTTACAAAGTTTGAGGGCCTGGATGATGGCTTAGTGGTTAAGAACATTTGCTGCTCATAGAGAAGACCTGGGTCCACTTCTTAGCACACATGCAATGGCATACAATCAATTCCAGGAAATCCTACACTCTCTTCTGGCCTTCACAGGTACCAGATATGCACATAGAGAACATACACACATGCAGGCAAAACATGTATATACCTAAACTCAAAATAAATTACTTTACAAAAGGGGGGTTGCATATGTGAATGCTGCTGACTAAAACAGTCTACCGTTTTATAGTAAACTTTTTTATTAAGTGGAAGAAATACACTAAAATAATGATAAAAGTATAGCAGAGTAATTTGTTGTACACTGTGTGAAGAAGATGTATTGCTGTGATTGATGTAAGAAGTTGGACAACAAATAGCTGGGTAGGAGGTATAAGCAGGATTTCTGGGGAAAGAAAGAAGAGAAAGAGTCTAAGCATGCAGAAGAAGCTAGGAGACATGGAGAGAAAACAGAAGGTACAAGATAGAAGAGAGGTAATGCCACATGATAGAATGTAGATTAATATAAATGGGCTAATTTAAGTTGTAAGAGATAGTTGAGACAAGCTTAAGCTAAAGACTGAGCTTTCATAGTTAATATAAGTCTACATGTCATTTTTTGGGTTTTGCCAATTCCTCAACCAGGGAAGGCTTTGCCACTCCCATGGGTCTAAGGCGTTGGGGTCCTTGACATAGCTGTTCCCATGTCAACAATACACTTTCACTATGGACTCCTGACCTCTCTCCACATACATTCTTGGGGGAGGGGTGCACATGTGTATGGTAAGCCTGTAGAAGTCAGAGGAAACTCTTCGGTGTTAGTCCTCAGGTGCTTTCTCTTGTGCCCAAGTCACAAGGATCCCCAAAGAGACCAGGGAGACAGACCGCCGATACAAATGCATAAGGTTTATTAAATTGTTTATCCTACACCTTGGGAGGGACCCTGTCTAGCAAGCTGACACAGCAGACTCCCTGTCTATTGCTAGGTTTTAAAGACAAAAGTTACAGGATTACATCACTAGGTACGGGTTGATTTCTGATTGGTTGACATTTGGGGAACAATCAAGAAATTTCTTAAAGTCATATTTTGGTATGAAATACCCGTGTACTAGGTATTCTCATTGGTCAGTGCTAAGAGGGAACATTCTGGGTTTCTATGGCTTTGTCTTGTTACTTGTAGGTGGCCTGATGTCCATAGATATCAATAGTTTCCAGAACTGTATCCTGGAGACTATAGGGGAGTTTTTGGTCTCCCCTGGAGTTTCTTTTGTGACCAAACAGTTCCTAGGAACCAAGTACCTAGGAGGCTTGTGGGGGTGGGGGGTCTGGAATTTCTTTGTGTTAGTTTTGGCCCTAGGCTCCAGGAGGCCAGAGGATCTGGAGTTTCCTTGTGTCAGAGGCCTATGTGTCTTTTCTGTAGCCTGTCATGGCTGCTAAAGCAGGGGCTTAGTGAGGGGCTGGGCCCTTTATTTCTAAATTATTAGAAGTGAAACCTTTGAGTTTAGTTTTCCCCTTTCACCTTCCACATGTTGTTTGAAACAGTTTCACATTGGCTTGGAACTTCACTACACCAGGATAGCTGGTTTGAAAGCTTCCGGGGATCGGTTTGTCTCCCACCTGGGTTACAGGTGTGCACCACTAATCCCTAGATTTTTTTTTGTGGTTTCTGGGGATCTGAATTCCAGTTCTTATGCTTTCAAAGGCAAATACTTTACTGACTGAGCTATCAATAACTTGAGATGTAATTTCATTCTATTCACTTGTTACCTAATTCAGTGGTTTTTTTAGTTTACTGCACTATTTGTTCTTTTAAATTGTGATAAAATGCATAACAGTATTTCATTTCTAACTCTCTTTACTTTTTTGAGACTAGTTCTTATTTGTAGTCCTTGCTGGCCTAGAACTCGATGATCAGTCAGACTTCATATTTGTTGCGAACTTACTTGTTGCAATCTTAGTACCTATGCTTCCCAAATACTGGGGATTATAGGCATGAGTACCCTGCCTGGCTTCATTTCAATCATATTTTAAATGCACAATTAGGTAATATTAAGGACATTTTTTTATAATGTTGTTCAACCATGTCCCCTGATCCTTGTTTCCTGATTTCCTGTTTGTTTGTTTGTTTGAATCAGGGTTTCACTTAGTAATGCTGGTTGACCTGGAATGCATAGACCAAGTTGACCTGGTACATGGGCAGTTTATGTGCCTCTGGCTTCTGAATGCTGGGATTATGGGCATGTGCCACAAGAACCAGCAGGTTGGTGGGTTTGTTACTGTTACTTGTTTAAGGCAGATCTCATACAGCCTTAGACTCAGTGTGTATTGGAAGATGACCTTGAATTCTTGATCTTCCTGCCTCTGCTTCCAAGCACTGGGATTACAGGCACGTGGTACCACACCCTGTTTCCCTATTTTTAAATGTGCTATTTGGTGGAAATATCTGTTGTATGTAATCATTTGGAAGAAAAGAGTGTTGATAGCAATGCAGATGATGGAGGCCTGGTTTGTGAAGTTCCAGACGGAAGTTTGAGAATTAGACTATTGGGACAGCTGCACTGAATTGAAACCTTTGCTTTACTGGGACAATTGATGCTGGTTAGCTGGAGCTGAGAAAATAACAATGATTAAAAAATATTGGAATTTTGAGGTGAAATCTTCTGAGAATCATTACAGAGAAACTATTCCAGAGGCAGCCTAGCTTATTATACCTTGTTCTGGCAGCCCAGCTTGATAGTACTGTAAGAGATACCCAGGTAGTCCTGGTTTTGAAGGCATGAAGGTGTCATGAAAAGCAAATAAGTCTTGGCATTGGGAGAGGCTGGGAGAGGCCACTGGAGAAGGTGCAACCTCAGTAGCAGTTGAAGCCTCAAGTCTGAAGGGGTCATGCAGAGATGATGAGGGTTGACACCCTGAAGAAGAGCCCAAGAGAGGCTATTGGTGGAAGTGCAGCCTAGTTGCAACAGAGAGCCCAGAATTTTGGAGATGCCAGTACCAAGGGATGACCACCAAGAACAGCAGCAGTAGTGGAGTGGAGCCTGCCAGAGCCTGGACGACAAGCTGTGTGTGCTGCAGACGATAGAGCCAGAGAAGTGACCCAGGCCCTTCAGAGGAGCCCAGAAGATTGTGAGTGAATCCCAGATATTGGACATTGAGTTATTTATACTTCTGGAATTTGATTTTACTTTGTTCAGATTGTGACTGTGCCCTGGTTCTTCTCTCTTGAAGTAAATAAAGTACTTAATTTATTTTTGATTTCACAGGAGCCCATAGTAGAGAGACTAACCTTTTTTTTTTTTTTTCAAAGGAGATTTTAGAGTTTTACAGAGAATTTGAATTGTAAAAGAAACTGGATATTTTAAAAGACACAACGTTTAAAGTGTCTTACTTTATAAGATTGTGGAACTTTTTAAGTTTGTAAAATGTTTTACATTGTGAAGTCTTTATTAATAGGTAATCTTGGAGATGAACAAGAAAGGAAAAGTTGTAGCTTAACAGTGATGTATTTGTGTGTCAAGTTTACAAGGGGTCAGCTGTCCTGGCTAGTCCTATGTCAACTTGACACCAGCTAGAGTTATCAGAAAGGAAGGAGCCTCAGTTGAGAAAATAAATGCCTTCCTAAGAATGGCCTGTAGGCAAGCTTGTGGGGCATTTTCTTAATTAGTGATTGATGTGGGAGGGCTCAGCCCATTGTGGGTGGGGCCATCCTTGGACTGGTTGTCCCAGGAAGCAAACTGAGCAAGCCATGTGAATCAAGCCAGTAAGCAGCATCCCTCCATGACCTCTGCATCAGCTCTTGTCTCCAGAGTTCTGTCTTGTTTGAGTTACTGTCCTGACTTCTCTTAGTGATGAAGAATAATAAGGAAGTATAAGCTTTTCTTCCCCAAGTTCTTTTGGTCATAGTGTTTAATCACAGCAATAGTAACTAAAGACTTCCCACAACGTATTTATCATTCTAAACTGAAACTTGCCCCATTAAATAACTCCTAGCTTTGCATGCCAGTGCTGTTCTTTCAAAATGCACACACACACACACACACACACACACACACACACACACACCATATTTGTTTGAGTCTTGCTTGCACTTCTTATGAAGTGGAATTGCTTGGTCATAGTCTACTGTAATTCTATGTTTAGTTTTTTGAGGAGCTGCCACTTTTTTCCATAGCCATACACCATTTTACAGTCCCATTAATATTGTACATGAATTCCTTCTTTATATCTTGGCAAAACTTATTTTCCATTTTAAAAATTATCAACATCTTAATAGTTATAAATCAGTATTTTTGCATTTCCCTGATGATGCTGAGCACTTGTTCACGTGCAGTTTATTTTCTTTGGAGAAATGTCCCATTATGAACTGGGTTTTTTGCCTCTTTGAGTTCATGTGAAATATTTCTTTTTTTAAAGTATTTTTATTTATTTATTATGTATACAACATTCTGCTTCCGTGTATATCTGCACACCAGAAGAGGGCACCAGACCTCATAAGGGATGGTTGTGAGCCACCATGTGGTTGCTGGGAATTGAACTCAGGACCTCTGGAAGAGCAGTCAGTGCTCTTAACCTCTGAGTCATCTCTCCAGCCCCAGTGAAATATTTCTTTAGCATAATCTTCTAGATTCTTTTTGTATCCTTCATAGTTTAATTCTCCTTTTTGTTTTATTCTTTCCTTTTGATGGAGTATATTCTTCTACATTTTTCTAACAAAGAGCACATTGGGTCTAATGTTTTTTTGAGAACACACAAATCTAAAAATATTTTTTTTAAGATTTTATTATATATAGTGTTCTGTCTGCATGTTTGTCTGCAGGCCAGAAGAGGGCGCCAGATCTCATTACAGATGGTTGTGAACCACCATGTGGAAATTGAACTCAGAACCTCTAGAAAAGCAGCCAGTGCTCTTAACCTCTGAGCCATCTCTCCAGCCCCTATTTTTATTTTTATAATTAACTGATAATTACCTGGGCATGGTATTCTAGATTTTTTTTAAAAATCACCTTCCCTCAGAATATTGAAGGGGTTGTAGCAGTAAAGCAACTCAGCCTAGCTCTGATATCAGTAACATGAGCAGCTCTATGTTCTTAGTAACCTCCACTCAGGTAAAGTTGCATTCCTTTTGTTGTTTGTTTTGTTTGTATGTATGTTGTGGGGGGTGTTTCAAGACAGAGTTTCCTGTTTTTCCCTAGCTGTCCTGGAATTCACTTTGTGACCTAGGCTGGCCTTGAACTCAAAGTTGGATTCTTGATTAAGCCACAGAAACAATTTTGGAGTCAGACTGAAGCAAATTGGCTATCTTACTATATATTTATGCTGGGGGGGGCACCTTTAATTCCAGCTCTCATGGGGCAGAGACAAGCAGATCTTTGTGAGTTTTAGGCCAGTCTGGCCTACAGAGGGAGTGTTAGGAGATCCAGGACTGTTCCACAGAGAAACCCTATCTCAAAAAAAATTTTGTTTATAACAGAGAGATACTAGGAAACGAATAGAATACACTGAAGGCATATTGACTTCTCAAGATACGTATGTGGCTTTCCAATTTACACTGCTCAAAGGACAAAATTTACAAGATATAAACATTAAGGAAAGCTTAAAATTTTAAGTAAAAAAAAATAGGAGCTCATTTACTTAGTTCTCTTATTATAGAAACTCTCCCATCAGGCATTGTAGAATACATCTATAATCCCAGCACCCAGACAGAGGCGGGAGACCAGGAGAAAATTCAAGGCTAGCCTGGGGGACATGAAATCTGTAATGTGTTGTTTACAGGCATCAAAGGTGTAAGTGACCATACCCAGCTGAGTTACAGTCTCAAGATGTAACTGTGGTTGTCAAAAGTTCTTTCCTTCTACCTTTATGTGGGTTCTGACGATTGAATTCAGGTCATCAGCCTTGCTTGGCAAACTCTCTTCACTTGCTAAGCCATCTCATTGGACTGTGTTGGAGTTTCTTCATTCACAGCCATCAGGACAAACAAACTAGATTCTAGAGTGAAGAATATGTATCTTTCACTGCCCCCTTTTCATGGCCCCTTATTTCTCCATTGTGTTATAGCTTTTGATATTTATTATTCTTCATGTCCAAAGTCATTCTGATCCTGTGGTGTGACATCCTTTGTCTAATTGGAAGCTTGTATAATTCTTCTTTTGTTTTTTTTTAGTCAGAGTTTCTCTGTGTAACAGTCATGACTGTCTTGGAACTCATTCTGTAGACCAGGCTGGCCACCTGGAACTCAGAGATAGGTCTGCCTGCCTCTGCCTCCTGAGAGCTGGAATTAAAGGTGTGTGTCACCACGACCAGACAAGAAACTTTTATAATTTTATCCCCAGCATTTACATTTCATTTTTAAATACCTTTTAAGAGTTTATATCTTAGGTAATCAGTTTTGGATTCAGTTTCATCAAACCTGCATAGGTTATTTGCCTGTCTTTTTAGTTTTGAATTTTTTTTCAGCTTTTCTTATTCTATTGCTGCCTGTTATTGTGGATTTACTCCTTTTAGGAAATTGATCTTTTATAAGCTTTATAGAGGACCAAAGTAAAATATAAGCATTTAATTTGTTTTTACTGGAAACTGTTCTTTGGCAGATTGTTCCACTGGGTAAATTTACTATTAGATGTTACACTGCTACAGTTAAAAACATTGACATTGCACCTGTAAAAGTGTAGTTGTTGTTTTTGTTTTTTACTCTTTTGGCTCTTTGGGGGCCCACCACCTAGCTCCCAAATAAATCACATGGAATCCTATTCTTTCTTATCAATGCCTGGCCTTAGTTTGGCTTGTTTCTAGCCAGCTTTTCTTGATTTAAATTATCTTGTCTACTTTTTGCCTGTGGGCTTTTACCTTTCTCTTACTCCATTGCTTGCTGTGTAGCTTGGGTGGCTGGCGTCAGGTGTCCTCTCTCTCTTCTCATTCTTCAGTCTTCTCCCAGAGTTCTCCTCCTATTTATTCTGTCTGCCTGCCAGCCCCACTTAGCCTTTCTCCTGCCCAACTGTTGCCATTCAGCCCTTTCTTAGACCAATCAGGTGTTTTAGACAGGCAGAGTAAGACAGCCTCACAGAGCTAAACAAATGCAGCATAAACAAAAGCAACACATCTTTACATTGTTGAACAAATATTCCACAACATAAATATAATTTCATTTAACATTTTAAAAATACTTGGTTCTCTTTTACCTTATTGTTGTGAGACTGTCATATAGCTTCTCAAGTATCCTGATATCATTTATTAAGTAAATTCTCTCTGTTTTCCTAATGTAAATTATTTCTTTATTATAAGTGTTAAAAATCATAAAGTTTTATAGTATTTAAAGGAAATGTAAAGCATATTATACAGAAATGATTGTATTGAAATTATTTACTTGCTATTTTTATATTGTAGGAAAAATTACAAAGTGGACAATGTAAGGATAATACCTCACCTATGAAAGTAAAAATACAGAACAATTTGAAACACCTCTGTGAAGACAGTATTGGAAGTAACAAAGCAGAAAATAAGGATATAAACCAGTCTAGACAGCTTCACAGTTTTAAGTCCAGTGGAGTCACATCTAAAGCTTGTGCAAATGAAAACCAAATGAAGACTCTGAAAAAGAACACAAATCCTCTTAATCCTTGCTATAGGGAGAAAGGGCAGAATAAGATTTTACATAAAGCCACTTCAAGCTGTACTCAAAACTTAAATGAAAAAATGACTTTTAACCAAAAGGATTCTGTTTCTCAATCAAGGTATAGTTTAATGATTTTACTACTTATTTATTTAGTAAATATTTATTGTGTGTCATGTTGGTTGTTTTTGGTTTTTGGAGACAGGGTTTCTTCTGTGGCTTTGGAGGCTGTCTTGGAACTCCATCTGTAGACCAGGCTGGTCTTGAACTCACAGAGATCCACCTGCCTCTGCCTCCCGAGTGCTGGGATTAAAGGCATGCGCCAATACTGCCTGGCACGTGTCATGTTGTTAAGCACTGTGGATACAGGAATAGTTAAACCTGGTTTGGGGAGGAGCATAAAGTAGGAATTCTTTCTGTTTCCTTTTTTTCCAAATGTATTTATCTTTTTACAATTTCATATATATAAAATGTACTTTGTTTCCCTTTCAGAATATTCAGGGTTTCTCTGTAGCTTTGAATCCTGTCCTGGAGCTTATTATGTAGACCAGGCTGGCTTTGAACTCCCAGAGATCTGCCTGCCTCTGCCTCTGCCTCTGCCTCTGGAGAGCTGGGATAAAAGATTTGCACCACCACCTCCTGACCCTTTCAGAATATTTTTATCCCCTCCTCCTCCTGCCAATCCCTTTTTTCTTCCATAAGTCTCCTTCCTACTCCCATGTCTTTCAGTACATTTGCTGTGTGCTTCACTGCCTTTTATTAGGGTTGCTTGCCATGAGCATGGATGGGAAAGGAAAAAAAAATTGAGACAGGATCTCTTATATCCAAAGCTTGTATGTAGCTGAGGATAGCCTTGAAATTCTGATCTTCCTACCTCTAACTCCCAAGTGCTGATGTTATAGGTAAGTATAACCACACCCAGTTTTTACAGTGCTGAGGATTGAATCCATGACCAACTGATGCTGGATAAATACTCTACCAAATGAGCTACATCCCCAGCTCTAAAGTTTTTTTGAAAAAAAAATATTGACCAATGACTTTGGATGAGGAGGTATGGATTCTAGTTTATCAAGGCTTTTCATGGTTTTCTCAGGATTTGGGAGTTTAATCCACATGATATGGGGAGCCACTGGAGATATTTTTGCTTTGTTTTCTTTTTTGAAATGGTCTCATGAATAACAAAAAGTCTTCAACTATCTTGTAGCCACAATGACCTTGAATTACCCTTATGTATACTACTACCCCCAGTTTATAAGATGCTAGTGATCAAAACCAGGGCTTCATGCATGTTAGGCAAGCATTCTACCAACTGAATTATGTCCCAAGCTCCTGAAGACTTTAAATTGAATGAAATACTTGTGTTAGTTTTATGTCAACTTGACACAAGCTAAAGTCATCTGAGAGGAGGGAACCTCAAGTAAGGAAATACCTCCATCAGATTGGGACTGTACAGACGCCTGTGGGGCATTCTTTTAAATTAGTGGTTTATGGGACAGGGCCCAGCCCATTGTGAGTGTTGCCATCCTTGGTCTGGTGGTCCTGGGTTCTATAAGACTGTGCAAGAAAAGTAGAGAGCATGCTAGTAAGCAGCAGTCTTCCATGGCCTCTGCCTTAGCTCCTATAACCAGGTACTTGCCGTTTTTGAGTTCCTGCCCTGACTTCTTTCAATGATGGGCTACAACATGGAAGTGTAAGCCAAATAAACCCTTTACTCCTCAACTTGCTTTTTGATTATGATGTTTCATCCCAGCAATAGATACCCTAAGACAATAAAATTTGAATTTTAGAAATTATGCTTACAAAAGAAAACTTAAACTAAGTCCCTATATTTGAAGTAATAAAGCATTGAACCTTTCAGCAATATGACAAAAACTAGTTTGCAAGTTTGCTGTGGTAAAGGGAGTAGAGTTTGGTGAAAATTCAATTTAGGATTGCTTTTTCCCCCCATTTTGTTTCTATTACTGACTGCCCTTTTCCCCTCACAGGTAACATGTAAGATTGGATGTAGGCATGTAGCTTTTCCTCTTAAACTCTTTCTTGTGTTGTGTGATGGCTATTGTACTTAAGGAAAAATGAAGAGGAGGCTATGCTCTGGTCAGATTACAGGGTAAACTGAGTAACAGGAAGATGGATTGTATTATCACTCCTTCCCTTTCCATTTTTCTTTTTCCTCCCCAAGGACAACTTTATTAGAGTTTGAAAGAAAAACAAGGCAAACAAGCTGTTAATCTCAGCAGCTGTCAGGATGAGAGAGATGGAGTAGGAGAGAGAAAGCCATGAGTTTTTGAGTTAGGGGTTGCAAAAGTTGGCATGCTGAGCAATGTCAGTCAATAAGGAATTTTTCTGTGAAGAGGAAGAAGGTTTCAAGGAAAGTGAAAAAGTCCAGAGTGTCAATGAAAACATGCTTAGACTTTTGACCATGTCCAAAAGAAAAATAGAAACAAGCCAAAGGAAAATTTACACTTTTGTCAGAACTGAGAAAATTAAGCAGTTTAGGAGTGCTGTGTAGAAGCTGGCAAGACTGCTTGCTGTCAGTGTTATTTTAACCTCACCTCTCAGGGATAGGAAACTGCAGAATGCTGAGATATGTTTTTGGGCCAGCCTTTTAGCCTTCTGCTCCAAGACTTTCACCCATACTCTTTTATTCTCTTCTGGTTGGCCCTTTTTAAATTTATTTATTTATTTATTTATTTATTTATTTATTTTGGTTTTTCAAGACAGGGTTTCTCTGTGTAGCTTTGGAGCCTATCCTGGCACTAGCTCTGGAGACCAGGCTGGGCTTGAACTCACAGACATCCGCCTGCCTCTGCCTCCCGAGTGCTGGGATTACAGGCGTGTGCCACCAACTCCCGGCTAAACTTTTTATTTTCTTAAGATTTGCTTTTGTTATTTGTGTGTGTGTCTGTGAGTTTGGATGCTCATGGAGGTCAGGGTGTTGGGTCCCTTGGGACTGGTGTTACATGAAGTCTTGAGTCACCTGACACTTGAGAATGAACTCCTGTCCTCTGAAAGAGCAGCAAGTGTTCTTAACTGCAGAGCCATCTCTCTAACTTTAAGATTGGCCATGTTTCTATCTTAGCTATTATTGTTATTTTAGTGTCAGTTTGAGTTACTCATACTTGCATTTTAATTGTTTTCCCCTTCTGTCTTGTACCCTCTACAAATAGATTTACGAAGGCCTAGAGATTAACATTAATCATTGTTAATATCTGTGGTAGTTTGAAATTGGCCCCCATAAAAGGGTTAGTTATGACAAAGGGGTTAGTTAGTTCAGTTGGCAGAGTACGTGCCTAGTGTGCACTGGACCCTGAGACTGATTCACAGTATTGCATCAAGTGGGCATAGTGGCACATGTCCATAATACCAGCACTCAGAAAGTGAGGGCAGGAAGATCAGGAGCTCAGAGTCATTTTCCACTACAAATCAAGTTGAGGGCCAGCATGGGTATGTGAGACTCTGTCTCAAAACACAAAATAAACATACATCTTGCTATATCCTCTTTTCTCTTTTAAATATTATTTATTTCTTTTTATTTTCTGTATATGGGTATCTGCCTGCATATATGTCTATGTACTGTGTGTATGTTTAGGGCCTGTAAAGAAGCCAGAAAAAGATGTTAGATCCCCTGAGCTATTCTGTGGGTTGTGAGAATTGAATTCTGGAAGTGGACCACTTAACCACAGGGCTATCTTTCCAACCCCCATCAAGGATTTATTTACCAGACATAAATGTGTGGTTCCATATATGAAATATTTTGTTTTGTTTGTTTTTCTGAGGTTAGGTCAGGTTGGCTTACTACTCATGATATTCCTATTTCAGTCTCCCAAGTGCTGGGATTACAGGTGTATGTCCTATGCCCAGTTTACAAAAGGCTGTTGTCTTAGGGTTTCTATTACTGTGAAGAGACACCATGACCAAGTCAACTCTTTTTTTTTTTTTTTTTTTTTTACAGATTTTATTTATTTATTATGTATACAGCATTCTGCTTCCATGTATATCTGCACACCCAGAAGAGGGCAACAGATCTCATAAGGGATGGTTGTGAGCCACCATGTGGTTACTGGGAATTGAACTCAGGACCTCTGGAAGAACAGCCAGTGCTCTTAACCTCTGAGCCATCTCTCCAGCCCGACCAAGGCAACTCTTATGAAGGAAAACATTTAATTGGGGTGGCTTACAGTTCAGAGGTTTAGTCCATTATCTTACCACAGGACATGGCAACATGTAGGCAGACATGGTGCTGGAGAAGGAGCTGAAAGTTCTACATCTTGATCTGTAGGACATAGAACCAACGGTGTACCACACTGAACATGCTTGAGCAAAGGAGACCTCAAAGTACACCCCCACAGTGACACATTTCCTCTAATAAGGCTACACCTACTCCAACAAAGCCATGCTTCCTAATAGTGCCATTCCCTATGAGTTTATGGGGGCCAATTATATTCAAACTATCGCAGATATTAACAATGAATATTGTTATATTATTGTTTGTTTTCCTGTCATCCATGTTCTTCCAGATTTTATTCTCTCCCTTTTGGACTTTATTCTTCCTTTTTTTCCCCTCTTCCTCCTTCTCTTCTTTTTTTTCCTTCCTTGAAACCAAGTCTCCTATATCCCAGATGTGCTTTTGCTCACTCTGTTTTAGATGATGACTTTGAATTTTTTTTTATCCTTCTGCTTTTACCTCCTGAGTGCTGAGATTAAGATATGAGATACAGCACCCAGTTTGTGTGTGGGGATTGAAACCAGCGCTTCAAAATGCTAGGTAGACACTTTACCACCTGAGCTATATCCCTAGTCTATCTATTCTTCTAAATGTTTTTTCCTGTATTTTTTTTTTTTAGGATTCAAACTATTATCCATTCATCTATTTGTCCCACACACATACTTTGTCATATGCTAGGAATAAACACAAGGCTCCAGTACCGTATAAACGGGGTATGGTAACATGTACCTTAATCCCTAGCACTCAGGTGGTAGAGGCAGAAGAGTAAAAAAATTTAAAGTCACCCTCTAATACAGATTGGGTTTATGGCCAGTCTGGGATATAGGAGACTTAAAACAAAACAAAACAAGAAAAACAAAACAAAACAAAAACTATAACCCTAGCCCTCTGTTAGTGGTTTGTTTGTTTGTTTTTTTTTTATAATATTTTGCTTCTGTCTTTTATCAATACTGTCACTCTCTGCAGGCTTGTTTACTTCTTCAAGCAAGGCTATGACTATTGCAGACCCTATTTTGGTCAAATATTGTTGATATGGTAGTCAGCTTTCTGTCATTATAACACAATACTTGAAACAATTAACTTTTATAAAGAAAAGGTTTATTTTGACTCATGGTTTGGGAAATTACATTCTGACATGATGGGCTGAGTACCCTTTGCTTTGGGGTCTCTAGCAAGGACAGCATAAGGTGTTGGGAGCATCTGTTGGAGCAAGCCACTCACCCCATGAGCCAAGAAACAGAAGAAAATAGGACATACCAGGGTTGCACAGTCCCCCTGGTGACTTTAAGACCTTGTACAAGGCCCCACCTCCTGAAGATCTCAAAATCTCCCAGTAGTGCCAAGCTGAGGGTCAGGGCTTAAATAATGAACTTTGGGAGCACATTTGACATTCAGATTATTGTAGTAGGTTTTGGAAACAGCTCTGTCGTCCCACTGAACATTCCAAGCCACAATACTGTTTAAAATTTCCCCTACACCACAGAATTTTTACTTCTAATAATGTAGTGTCCATTTTCTTTTAGTGACCATGTTGTTGAACATCCGACTCACATTGTCAAAAATGGAAGGCAGCAAGTATCAGTAACAGGTATGATTTTAAATGTTTCTTCTTTGGTTTTTCAAGCAAATAGGTATTTGGTATGGCTAAAACTTAAATGTAAGTTGGTATATCTGCTCTGTGTAAGCCATACTTTTGACTCTGGCACACCTGTCTTTATTACCATTTACTCATATATAGAATCTTTTTCTTTATCCTCTAAGATGACTGGATATGTAGTAGTGAGAGAAAATGTATGAAAAATCTGAGGCTTAATAAATATTATAAATTTCAGAACTTTTCATTAAACAAAAAAAATCTTACATTTTGCATTTTTTTCAGATCCATTTACATTGTGTTTAGACATAATAGATAAAGAAGTTGGTTTTCAAGCAAGTGACAACTGTTCCAAAATGTTGAAATATAGGTGCTCAGGTGAATATTTTTTAATTATATTAATTTCATAATTGAATCTTTATCTGCTATTAGTTAGAATTTATAACATTTCTGCCTTATGATTAATTTCATCTCCTTTGAATATGTGACAATCTGAATTTTAGAAGCATTTAAATCAATATTGTCTATTTTTCATTAGGGCATGCCCAAATGAGTAAATGCAATTAATATCTCTTATTTTTGTTTTTGTCACAACATTGTCTGTAACTTTAAATGAGCAAGATAAATATGTTTTCAGAGATCAGAGAAATAGATATTTATTCTATATTATATTCTAAACAGGTATTAAGTATTCCATATATAGTTTTATATTTCTAGTAAATTTATTAATGTTCCTAGTGTCCCATGCCCCACTACTGATTTTTTTCTAAAAGATCTCACTGCACTGATCCAAATCTTTCTCTTCCTCACACCCTACCATTTCCTCTTTTTTTCATGCTCACTGTTCTCTGAAGAAACAGTGCTCCATGTTCAGTGCAGAACATCACTATTCTATTTTAGATGAGGACTTGCATCTCTGTTCCTCTGAAGCTGATTTATAACCGTAATATGAATTCTATAACTACTCTCTTCTGTCTAATATAACTGTACAATCTTTGTGCAGTTTCTTCCTTTAAATCAGCACACCTGTATTCCAGATACTTAAGAGATTGAGGCACTCTGGGCAATGATGGCACACACCTTTAATCCCAGTATTTAGGAGGCAGACGGATCTCTGAGTTCACGGCCAGCCTGGTCTACAGAGAGAGTGCCAGGATAACCAAGGGCAGTTACACAGAGAAACCCTGCTTGTGTGTGGGGGGGGTGAGAGAGAGAGAGAGAGAGAGAGAGAGAGAGAGAGAGAGAGAGAGAGAGGTGGGGGGGCTCTGCAGAGGCCAGAGGAGTTGGCTCACTCTGGAGAGGGAGTTGGATCATTAGAGCCTCTAGTTTAAGCAATGTAATACCACCTCATCTCAAAAACACATAAAGTCAGTGTCTTAGTCACAGTGATATTGCTATGAAGAGACACCATGAACAGGCAACTCTTATAAAAGAAAGGATTTAATTGGGGACTTGCTTACTCTTTCAGAGATTTAGTCCATTTATCATCATGGTGAAAATCATGATGGTATACAGACAGGTGCTGGAGCAGTAGCTGAATTGTAGGCAGAGAGAGGGAGATTCTGGTCCTCAAAGCCCACCCCCAAAAGCACACTTCCTTCAACAAGGCCATACCCCCTAATCCTTCTCAAGTAGTGCTATTCCCTGATGACTAAGCATTCAAATATATGTGACTATGGGGCCATTCTTATTGAAATCACCACAGACATTATTAATAGGAAAAATGTAGTTTAATCTCAAGATTCTTCTTATCTGCTTTTAAAACAGGGTATCACACTGTAATCCAGGCTAACTTGGAACCCACTCTGTAGCCCCGGCTACAGATTCAGCTGGTAGCCATCACTCCTGGATTAACCTAATGTTTCAGTGCTGAAACTCTTGACTCCTTGATTTGGGTAGTTCATGTCTAATTGATGCTAATTATTGCTGTATTTTACTTATAAATTTCACAGCATTTATAGTACCCTCTTGAGTTCATTACAGAATACATAGGCAGATAATTTGGGTTATTACATCCATTTGTCCTACCTAACCAGGCTAATTTTTCTTCATCTTAAAAATCCAAATACTTGGTACAATTTGCTTTCCCTTTAAATATTTATGTACTCTACCCACTCCTGCCCTTTTAGAGGGAAGAGGAAGTATGGGGGTGTGGGGTGTGGATGCATGGGTTTTTTGCCTGCGTATATGCCTATTCGTCACTTGTGCCTGATGCCCAAGGAGGCCAGAACAGTGTCAGCCACCCCAGAATTGGAGTTACACACTGTTGTGAGTTGCCATGTGGGTACTGGGCATTGAACCCTGATCCTCTGAAAGAGCAGTTAGTGCTCTCAACCACTAAGCCATCTCCTCAGCCCTGAGAGGGATCTTTTGAGATGAAGTTTGATTGTGTAGCCCTAACTGGCCTCATGTTTTCTATGTAGGCTAGACTTGTCCTGAATTTTCAGTGATCCTCCTGTCTCTGCCCAATAAGTGCTGGGATTATCAGCATGTATGACCATGCCAGGATATTATTCTACTCTTATTGTTGACTCTTCATGATTCCTTTTCTATACACTCATTCCATTAATTCCCTAAAAGGTGGCACTTGCTCTCTTGTCCACTATCACACACACTCTTCCCATTACCTGGGATTGAACCTAGGGGCCTTGAACATATTAGACAAGAGCTCTACTACTACTTTATCCTGTCCCTCCTCTCTTAACATTCTACTTATTTTTATACATTAAAGTTACCTAACCCCTCACTTTCCCTCTTAATTTAGTTATTTTTGTCATTTTACTGAACTTTAAATGTTAGTTTACCTGGAGCCTTTTCCCCCTAAAACTGGCGACTTATTCACTATTGACTCATATATATATATTTAGGTTATTGAAATTGGGTCTCATGTTATAGTGCTGTTACTAATGGCCAGGGTTAGAATCATGTGTTTTCGGGTTCTTGACCTCTTATCCAATGTAGGCAGAGTTTTTCTGTCCCACCAGCCCACTCCCAAATAACCACACAGAGACTTATTATTAATTATAAATGCTTGTATCCAGCCAGCTGTTACAACTTAAATTAACCCATTTCTATTAATCTATGTGCTGTCCCAAGGCACATTAATGAACTTCTCATGTTGCTTCTTCCCTAAGAGGAAGCTTGTGACTCCTCTGACTCTGCCCTTCTTTCCAGCACTCTCTCTGTCCTGAAAAATCCTGTCTAACCCTTGGCCAATTAGCGCTTTTTTTGTTTGTTTGTTTTTTGTTTTGTTTTTGAGACAGGGTTTCTCTGTATAGCTTTTGAATCTCTCTTGGCACTTGCTCTGTAGGCCAGGCTGGCCTCGTACTCATGGAGATCTGCCTGCCTCTGCCTCCCAAGTGCTGGGTCAAAGGCATATGCCACCACCCAGCCACCAATCAGCTTTTTATTAACAATGAGAGCAACCCATTTTCACAGTGTACAGAAGGATTATTCCACAGCAATCCAAAGCATTGAAAATAAGGGCTCACATAGATGTGCAAAAGTAACAAGGTAACTTAATAAAGAGCCAATCAGTAATACAGATTAGAGGAGGATATACTGTCAAGATTGACAGTGGACTTTACTAGTACTTCAGGACTCCAGTTATTGTTTAGGGCTCAAGAAAAGGATCAGTTTAGTTGTTAAAAGGTACAACATGGGCAATTCTCTGCTTTGATAGATTAGGTCATATAATCATCTTACTGTGCATGTCCCTCCCCATAATTGATCTGATTTTAATCATGTGCCCATTCAGTTATGCATAGGCATAGGATGGTAAATAGGGAATTCTTCCTAAAAGTTTACTTGAGGACACAGTTTGTCTTATTGCACATGCACCCAAAAATAGTTCAGGCTGGATCGGCCTTTCTGTGCCTCATATTCAGATATACTGGGAGTATATTTGAACAGAAATTGTCTACATTTGGGACAGTGGTTAAGAGCCATACTGCTTTTGGAGAGGACCTGAGTTAAATTTCCAACACCCACCGCTCACAACCACCTGAAATTCTAGTTCCCAGGGATCTGGCACTCTATTCTGGCTTCTATGACTATTTTAGTTACTGTCCTATTGCTGTGATGAGACAACATGACCAAAGCAACTTACAAAAGAAAGTGTTTAATTGGGGTCTTGCTTATAGTTTCAAATAGTTAGTCTGTGATTATCATTGGAGCAGGTAGGTATGGTGCTAGAGCAGTAGCTAAGAGCTTACATCTTACTGGCAAGATGACAATGGGGGTTGGGGAGCAAGACTGGGTCTGGCATGGGCTTTTGAAACCTCCAAAACTCACCCCCCAGTGACACATCTCCTCCAGCAAAGTCTGAATGTCCTAATCCTTCCTAAATAGTCTACCAACTGGAAAACAAACATTTAAATATATAAGCCTATGGGAGTCATGTAGTCACACACATGCACACATTCACACACAGTTAAAAATAAAAAAATACAGGGCAAGAAAGATGGCTCATAGTTAAGATCACAGGCTACTTTCCAAAGGACCCCTGTTCAATTCCTAACAATCACATGGCTGCTCCCAACATCTATAACTTCAATTCCAGGGGATCTAACACCTCTTCTGACCTCCTTGGGCACTACATGTATTTGGTACACAGATAGACATGTAGACAAAACACCTATATACATATTTAAATACAATAATAATAATGATAATAGTAACAATAAAAAACCTGTCTAAGTTTGATTGTCAATGAAGGAGAAACTTATCCCATTGTTCAGAGAAAGGTATATGTATAGTCTGATGCAGATATGCAGATGGGAAGGTAATGTCCAAGATTGTTTAGTGCATTGCTTAGAAAGGGTTTTTTGTGCATGATATATCTAGGCAATGGAACTAGGCTGCTGAATTAGTTACTTTTCTGTTGCTGTGATAAAGTATCATAACCAAGGCAACTTACAGAAGGAAGAGTTTAGTTTGACTACGGTTCCAGAAGGAGAAGAGTCCATCATGGCAGGGAGACATGCAGCAAGCAGCAGGCATGGTAGCAGGGTCAGGAAGCTGAAAGATCGTGTCTTCAGCCACAAACATGAAACGGAACAAATGGACTGAAAGTAGGGTAAGGCTCACCCCTACTGAGGTACTTCTCCAGCAGTGCTACATCCCTTCAACCTCTCCAAACAGCAATTGGGAACTAGTTATTCAAATCATGGGGGACATTTTTTCATTCAAACCACCACAGCTGCGAAATGTATATTTAGAAAAGGAGATTGTTCATAAACCAACTACGTACAGTCTCAGATTATTAAACTTGTCCCTGTGATTGTTGGGCCTCAAACATGTGATCATCTTGTCTCTGCCTCCAGAATGCTGAGATTACAGGCATGCATCACTATGCCCAGGTTTGTTAATTTTTTTTTTTTGAGTCTTTTATTTATTTTGAGTCTCTCCATTTGGCCCAAACTAGTCTCAAATATTGTGATCCTCTGATTTGTACTACCACACCTAGCTAAAACCAGTAGCTTAAGAAAATTCTTTATAGCCAGGTGGTGGTTGTGCACACCTTTAATCCCAGCACTCAGGAGGCAGAAGCAGACAGATCTCTGAGTTTGAGACCAGCCTGGTCTACAGAGCGAGTTCCAGGATGTTCAGGACTACATAGAAAACTCCTGTCTCAAAAAAACTCTTTGTAAAAAATTATGTATTTTCATGTGTATGTATGTGTTCTTATGTGAGTTCATGTATATCATGTGTGTGCAACAGTTCTTAGGAGTTCAGAGGGCATTGGCTCCCCTAGAACTGCAGTTGTAGGAAGTTGTTAGCCATTATATGGGTGTTGGCACTCAAAATAAAAATCCTCTGCAAGAATAGCAAGTGCTGTTTACCACTCAGCAATATTTCCAGTCCCTTAAAAATGTATTGTCTGTAGTCTCACTGTATTTATGAATATTGTTTCTTGAAGTATTTTCCTCTCAGAAATCTAAAGCCATAATTCCTAGATCATCCACCTAGGTCCATGTGAGTTCTGGAGTGAGTTTATAAGTTTACTATACAATACATTTTTTTTTTAGTTTAAGGGAAATACAATAACCAACATCTGTTGTACATCATTGCTCAAGGTTGATCACAGTTTCAACACCGAAGCATTAGATTATACCACATTCATCATATTAATGCTACTTGATAAAATTTTTGGAAAGATGAATGAGGTATTTATATGATAGCTAGGCTGGCCTGGAATTCATGGATGTAAGTGATCCTCCTGGCTTAACTTGGCTTTCCAAGAAGCCAAGACTATAAGTGTGTAACACTGTGCCTTACCTGATAACAATTTCTTTCTTTTCCTTTTTAAGAGTTGCTGTGGTCATGGTGTCTCTGCACAGCAATAGAAACCCTAAGACAAGCACTGTATGTTAGATTATAGTAAGCATTATTTTCTTAGGTAATAGTTTCATATATTTAAAAAAGCAAAATCCTTATATTAGGGATGCATAAGTATTCACAAATGCATGATATTTAAATGCAAATTCCATTGTCCACGTGGGTGTGTTATAATTGGAGAGATATCAATAAAAATTTGACTTTCTACAGTTGGTGGAGGCACACACCTTTACTCTACAGAGTAAATACCAGGACAGCCAGGGCTACACAGAGAAACTCTGCCTCAAAAAAATGACTTTCTATGATTTAATAATTATGAAACTAGGTGAAATATACATGTTTGTTATGCTCTGGCTTTTACTCTTAGGCATTTAAAATGTTCCATAATAATCTTTAAAGTGAAAAGAAAATTGAATATAAAGAACACTTCTACTTTTCTGTTACTATGATACTACTTTTCTGTTACTATGATAAAATAGCATGACCAAAGCACCTTAGAGAAGGAAGGTTCCAGAGAGGTAAGAGTTCATTACTGGGGGACTGGAGAGATGGCTCAGAGATTAAGATCACTAGCTGCTCTTCCAAAGATCCTGCATTCAGTTTCCAGCAACCTACATGGTATCTCACAGCCATCTATAATGACATCTGGTGCGCTCTTTTGGCATGCAGGCATATGTGAAGGTAGAACACTATACATAGTAAATAAATGAATGAATAAATGAATAAATAAATCTTAAAGAAAAAAAAAAAGAGTTCATCACTGTGACCACCATGTGAGCCAAGAGCTCACATCTTGAATCACAAGAAGGAAGTAAAGGGAGTGCACTGGAAAGGCTCCAATCTTCAAACTCGAAAAGCCCACTTCCAGTGACATACTTTCTGAACCTTCCTAAACAGTGCCACCAGCTGGTGACCAAGTATTGAAATGCCTGAGACAATGGGATACATTTCAGTCATACCATCACAACTTCTTTAGGTACCTTCCCTTAATGGCTCAAAACCAAACCAATGTAGATACTTCCTGTTTCTTTTTCTTTTCTGTTTTTTGGAGACAGTCTTATATATCCTAGTCTGGCCTCCAGTTGACTATATAAGCAAGGATTTTCCTGCCTCTGCCTTCTAAATGCTGGGATTGCAGGTGTGTGCTCAATTTTGTACTGTGCTAGGGATTTAATCCAGAGTTTGTGAATGTTAGTCAAATATTGTACCAATTAAGCTAATCCTTAGCCCTTTTCTTCTTCTATTTCAGTACTGAACCTAGGGCTTTGCACTTGGTAGACAAGCACTGTACACTGACCTGTAGCAGTCCTTTAATTTCTTGGTGTTTTGTTTGTTTTGTTTTTGTGCCTAGGTTTCACAAAATTGCACAAGCTAGCCTTGAACTTGCAAACCTCCTGCCTTTCTGTCTTGGCCTTCTAAGTACTGAGGATTGTAGGCATGTGTTGCCACAGTGGGTTGGGTGCTTCTTTTCTGTGTGGCTGTAACTGTTCACACTTCCGCCCCAACCCAACCCTTCTTTCTTTTTTTTTTAGTTTTTTGTTTGTTTGTTTGGTTGGTTGGTTGGTTGGTTTTCCAAGACAGAGTTTCTCTGTGTAGTTTTGGAGTTTGTCCTGAAACTCGCTTTGCAGACCAGGCTGGCCTCAAACTCACAGTGATCTGCCTGCCTCTGCCTCCAGAGTGCTGGGATTAAAGGCATGTGCCACCACTGCCTGGCAATAAGCAATTTGTCCCATACGGAGATTGACTTCTGGATCTGGGCATTATTAGCACCACACACTAACCAAATGAGCAACCAGCCAGACCCTTATTTCTTTTGTGTAGTTTCTTTACTCTCTGAGATAAGTTGGGGTTTCTTGAAATTTTCCTAATTTCTTAATTTCACTTTAGTTTATCATCTTAGAGGTTATCTGTTTTCACTGAGTTACTAGTATATAATTTTGTAGCATCTATATACCAACTTAAATTTGTTTTCTTTCAGGTTGCATAGCAGTAAGAAAACTCCTCAATAGCCGAAATTTTAGCAAGCTTTTGCACTCTTGTGCATACCTATGTGATCATCATAAAGTCATTATGGAAGCTGAAGATAAATATAAAAGTGAACTAAGGAAAGCACTTATCTGTGGCAAAGGTAATTAATTCAGCCACTTTAACTGTAATTGTGGCTTTATATTCTGAACTATCCTCTAAAGTATTAAGTATATTGACTAGAGTATGAAATACTGCTGAAAAAAAAAAAACCCTATCTCTAGGTTACCAATAACTTAAGATATACTAGAGGAGTTTTAAATCTGTAATGGCTTAAAAATTCTCCCTAAACTGGGCATGGTGGAATATACCTATATCCTTAGCCTTTGGGAGGTAGAGGCAAGAGAATCAGGAATTCAAGGCCATCCTTAGCTATACAGAGTTTGTGACCAGCCTGATCTATCTGATACCCTGTGTCAAAAAATCAAACAAAAAAGATCTAGGTGTGGTGGCACTTGTCTTTTATTTCAGATCTTGGGAAGCAGAGTTAGGCAGATCCCTGAGTTCAAAGCCACCCTGGTTTACATAGCTAGTTCTAGGACAGCCAAAACAAAAACAAAAAAAGGTGGGTCTGGGGAGATGGCTCAGCAGTTAAAAGCAGTTGGCTGCTCTTACATATGACTCAGGTTCATTCAGTTCCAGCACCCATATGTGGCTCACAACCATCTGTAATTCCAGTTCCAGGGAATCCAGCACCCTCTTCAGGTACAAATGTAGTTAGTGTACATGCACACATGCAGACAAAACACTCATACACAGTAAGAAATAAAATAAACAAAATTATTTCTAGTTCACTTAAGGATTACCACTATAAGATGGTAAGCAATATCATACTATAATAGATTTGATATGTAACTACTTAGATTGCTATTATAAGTATACTTAATGTTTCCTATATTTTTCAGAAATTTTGCTGACCCCCCGTAGAAGACAACTTAGTAAAGAATCTACTGCTTCTGAAGGACTAAGTGAATATATTTAATTTTTAAATTTGCTTTAACTGTACATATCCCTAAAAAGAAGAGAGCAGCTGAAAGACTGTTCTCCTTAATTACATAAAATGATAACGCTTGGCTTGTATGAGATTATACCTACTGAAGAAAAGATACCATCTTTCTCCCTTTATGCTGTTTACTTGCTGCTTGCCACCTGGGGAAAGAGCTCTAGGAAACAGACATTCCTTTTATTTATTTATTTTTAACTGGTTTTGTAGATTTTATTTATTTTTATTTTACATGTATGAATATTTCCCTGCATGCGTGTATTTTTGTTTTACATGTATGAATATTTCACTGCATGTGTATGGAGGCCAAAGAAGACATCAGGTCCCCTGGAACTGGAGTTGTAAAGGGTTGCTAGCCACCATGTGGGTGCTAGGTATTGAACCCTGGTCCTCTGGTGCTCTTAACCACTGAGCCATCTCTCCAGCCCTGACATTTATTAAACATCTGGTATATGTTAGTTGTTTTATAGATATTATTTTCTCTAATTATGTTAATAATCAGTTATAATAATTTGGCCTCCTCTTTTAGAATTTATAAGAATATTTACAAGAGTATTTTGAGGAAGTATTAATTTGACTCTTTGTCTCTCTCTCTCTCTCTCTTTTTTTTTTTTTTATTTCCTGAGACAGGGTTTCTTGGTGGAGCCCTGGCTGTCTGGAACTTGTTCTGTAGACTAGGTTGCCCTCAAACTCAGAGATCCCCCTGCCTCTGCCTCCCAAGTGCTGGGATTAAAGGCATGCACCACCATCTCCCAGCTTAATCTTGTTGCCGGAATTTCTTGTCCCACCAGGTCCCACCACCCTTGAGCCCCAAATAAACACACAGATGCTGTATTAGTTATAAAACTGTTGGCTGATATCTAGGGCTTCTTATTGACTAGCTCTCTCTTAATTATTAACCCATAACTACTAATCTATGTATTTTTACATGGCCTTATCTTGCCAGAGAACACCTGGCACGTCCTATCCTCCCTGTCTCTACATGGCATCTCTCTGTAGTGCCTCTCTGCCTACCTTTCCCAGAATTCTCCTTGTCTCCTAGTCCCGTCTATCTTCCTGCTTCTATGGGCCAAACAGTGTTTTATTCATCAACCAGTAAGAAAAACATACACAAGAACATGCCCCATCATAATCTCTCTTTTAAATCAACCCAGGAATATTTAGTATGCGATCAATTTTTTTTCCTCTTGATTAATTTCCCTTATATATTAGGTATCTCACTACACTCCTTTTTTTGTTTGTTTGTTTTTTTGTTTTTCGAGACAGGGTTTCTCTCTGTAGCTTTGGAGCCTATCCTGGCACTCGCTCTGGAGACCAGGCTGGCCTCGAACTCACAGAGATCCGCCTGCCTCTGCCTCCCGAGTGCTGGTATTAAAGGCATGTGCCACCAACGCCCAGTTCACTACACTTCTTTTAACTGTAGTTTATACTCAAATATACTCAGATTTGAGCCTATCATTTTTGAGGAAGGACAATGTACCATGTAGGCATTCAATCTGCCCCAAGGCTCTTTTTAGGATGGCTTGCTATGTTGAAAGAATTAAGAATGTCTGGAATTAAGTCCTCTTGCTCATCTTCTTCTGTAACATACAGGGGATATTAAGAATAGCACTGAGGCTGGGTGTGTGACTCATGTCTCTAATCCCAGAACTAAGGCAGACATTTCACAAGTTTGAGGCAAGTGTGAGCTATATAGCAAGACTTTCTAGAAGCCTAGTAATTTAATAATAATGTTTTAAAATTGCACTCAAAAAGGCCATGAGTGAAGCCTTGAAGTACAGAGTGTTTTTCAAAATTACCCAGTCCTCTGCTGTAGAACTTGTAAGTCAGGAAAATGGCAGGCTTAGTGAAAATGCAGGGAGCTTCATGTGAACAACTTTAAGGCCTCAGTGTCCTAAAAGTTATACCCTACCCCGTCCTGATTATAAGGAGATCAAGTCATTCATCAAGTGAAGCTTCAAAGAAACTTGGGTAACAATAGTTTTCCAGCATTCTCCAGCTAAGGGGTAACTTGTAAATAAAGTTTTGAGACAGTTTTATCAATAGTAACTTTTTCTCTTAATAAATATTGATGATTATCTACTATGTCTGAGATATGTTCTGAGCCTGGGTTACAGTGGTAACTAAGCTACTCAGATGCCTCGCCCTTCATGGAGCTTGCATTTTAAATACTAACTACTAAGTAATAGCAATGACTTCTCAGCATCTTCTGGGAACATGTTCTCTTTTGTTTTACACCATTGCACTTACCTTAGGAAGGTAGACAGATGGCCAGCAGTGTTGGCTTGTAAGGGTCAAAGTTGATACATCCATCCCTTCTAAAGTAAGTAGCAGCCTCAAGCAGAAATGCTAAAGCACACCTCTCTGGCATCTGTCTACAGTGCCACACAGGTATCAGTGAACTCTGAAGTCCAAGGAAACCTATGTGCTGGGACTGGAGAGAGAGACCAGTAGTAGAAGTGCTTGCAACTAAGTCTGATGACCTAAGTTTGATCCTCAGAACCCATATCAGAGTGGAAGAAAAGAACTGACTCTACAAAGCTGTTCCCTGATCTCCACATACATGCCACGGCATGAGTGTGTCCATACATATCACACACACACAATAATACTAAAACTATTTCCTCATGATAGTCACCAGGAGATAATTGAAATGACTGTTTGCCAACTGTGTATTCTTTCTGTTATAGAAGCTATTCATCTAAAACCAGATAGTCAAAAACTTCCAAGTTTGGAGGAACATGCCTGTAATACCAGCATTCCAGAGGCTAAGGCAAGAAGATTCCGAGTTCCAGGCCAGCATGGACTACATAGTGAGTTTGAGGCAAGACCGAGCTACATAGGACAAGCCTGTCTCAGAAAAAGAAAAAAAGAGAAAAGAAAAGAAAACCTACAAACTTCTTTTTCCATTATGTGACCCATTTTGCTTTTATATTGTGATAAGCTGAGCACCCCTATAGATAGTACATGTAGGGTTTTTTGTTTGTTTGTTTTGTAAGTGAACTTCAAACAACTCTTAGTCTTCAATCCAGTGAAAACTGGGCCAGATGGTGGTGATGCACAGCTTTAATCCCAGCACTCCAGAGGCAGAATCTCTGAGTTTGAAGACATCCTGTTCTACAGAGCTAGTTACAGGACAGCTAGGGCTGTTACACAGAGAAACCCTGTCTTGAGTAACCAAAACAAAACAAAACAAAAACAAATGAAAACTAGTACTCAAAATAACAAATGTTGGTATTCCATATTCTGTGAAGTTATGAAGCTTTTGAGAATACTGTATCTGTAAGATAGATAAGCTGTTTGTTAACCTTCCTCACAGAATGCTGCATTAAAATCTAATGTTTATAAACTTGCCATTTGATTGTTTGGTAGATGTGAATATTATTTCAGTGGATTAAGTTATAATATTAAGGAAGTCAACAGTGGTAACCCCTCACTCAATGATCTTTTAAACTGAAGTAAATTTCCATTTGAAAAACATCTCTGGCATCAAACTGTCTCATTCTGTAGTTTATATCTATGGAATAAGTTATACATTTATTTGAGTCTTATTAATATACTTATTTCAGCAAGTATTAATATATTATACAATTTCCATTCATTACAGAAAAAAGAAGAATTCGTAAAAACTTTACCAAAGAAGAAGTAAATTATCTTTTTCATGGAGTTAAAAAAATGGGAAATCATTGGAATTCAATTTTGTGGTCTTTCCCCTTTCAACAAGGACGAAGGGCTGTAGACCTTGCTCACAAATACCACAAGCTGATCAGAGGCCCCAACTGTGCAACCATATGACTAGAGGAGACTCAGTTTTTTTGTTTGGACTCTTAAAATAGAATTTCTTAGGAGATACAAAATGTTAAATATTCTTCTAAACTCTTAAAAGACAGGGGCTGATAAGAGTTTAAATGATTTTTGTCAAAATGTTACAATAATTTATAATGCAAATACATTTTTCAGTGTGAAAATTAGAATTTCTCCATGAGACCAAATAAGTTGTCCCTTTACTTTTCAATGGTCAAAGAACATAGGTCACAAGAAAAAAATTAGCAGCCTTTAAACATCACTTAACATTATATTGCCATAAATACTATATAAGACATTTGCCTTTTAGTATTTTGCCTAGTGCTAATGTCCACTCTAGAACTCCCGACAATTTCTCAAGCTGCTCAACTAAGGCTGTCAACCAACAAATAAATGTTTGGCATTTGTTAATTGAAATGATTCCTCTTCTAAAGGTTAATTATGAAATTGTCTTAGCACTCAATTGTAACGAAAGTCTTTCTGCCGCAGCTACCTGAGCCCTGCCACCACGTGGGCGCTTTCTGCCAGACCGCCCAAGTTCCATCCGCTGCCACATTACAGTCCCAAGTAACACACATAAACTTATATTAGGTACAATGCTACTAACAAGAAGTCGTGCTTGTCTCTGTTCTTTTGCTTCCAAAATCCCTTTTTAAGCTTTGTGAAGTTTACATGGAAGTTCATAACATTATTGCCAGCTGCCTGGGTTCTGCTGCCTATTGACTAGTTGTGGCAACTGGTGTTCGAGGCGGTAGGAGCTTAGAATCCTAATCCTAGAACTCTCGAGGGCTGCAGGCCATCCTTGGGAGTGCTGAGTCCAACCCCCAAGAGTGTGGGACAGCTCTGGCATACTGAAGCTGCACCAATGCAGTGCATCTGGATAGGGTGGGCTTCAGCAGCAGGTTCCCCACTTCCTCTGGGAACTTTGGGACGTAGGGTGATCCCACTTCTGACACCAAATAAAGTGGGGCACAATTAATGTGTATTGCAAAGGAGTCAGAGCAAGTTTGATGAACAGATGTTTTAATAGGAGAGTACTCACACAATGGAATCAGTACCCTATAACCAGGTGAACCATGGAACAGAGAAAGCTGCCTGTGTGCAACCCTCATATTTAAGGTCTTGCTACGTCACTGACCACGCCCTAGTGTGTGGTCTGCGTCACATGTGCCAGCCCCCAAGAGGGTGTGGCTAACATTTCCCCTACAATTCCCCTTTTAGTCTAAAAGAGTATTAAGATTTAACAGTGTAAATTATCTATAATTAACAGTCATAAGGGTGAATTACAAGAAGTTATAATAATCTACTAATGTCACATCTTAATTATAACTACTCCAACTAAACCTAAAAATCATCCAAAAGAGATGTCCAAGCTTGAACACCACCTTCCAAACCCAACATTAAACAATAGGAAACTAGCCCTAACTAGGTGTCAACAGTGGAGAAGTGGGGTGTAGTATTTAGTATTCTCCATGTTACTTCCCGCTGAACTGAGACAACAACAGCCTCATGGGGTCCTGTGGGCAGAAATGTTAATGTGATGAAAGTCCTGAATGGGTTATATCCAGTCCATGTCTGGTGGGAGATGCTTGCTTGAAGGTCCAGGTTGAAGTCCTTATCTTGATTGAAGTTCTTGTGTTGATTGAAGTCAGTATCCGAAATTCTGGCCGGAGTGTCAGTTGAAACAAAGCAAGTTGGATCCAGTGTACTCGAGGAGGTGTGGCCCATTTTCTTTCCGGAGCATCCAGGGATTGCTGTTAGGCAGGTCTTCATTGGCTGTGTGAGGCTCAAACATAATTTTGTTTTTCAAGACAGGGGTTCTCTGTGTAGCTTTGGAGCCTATCCTGGCACTCACTCTGGAGACCAGGCCGGCCTCAAACTCACAGAGATCTGCCTGCCTCTGCCTCCTGAGTGCTGGGATTAAAGGTGAGCGCCACCAATGCCCGGCTCAAACATAAATGTTAGCAGAGAAATGTTTGTTTGTACATGTATGTATACTGGGAAAGGCATCCATGGGAAAATAAGAAATATGAAAGAGCGTACACCTTGAGAGAAAAAAACAAGAAAAGACAAATGATAGTCCCTAATCTTTCCCCATTCTGTATTACATCAATTGGCTTCTTGATATAATACAGAAACTCTGAAGTTTCTTTTAATAACATACTTGGATTTAGAGGAGGAAAGCCAAATCCAACTTGAAAGCCAGTATTGGTTTAATTGAATAGGGACTAGGAAATAAAGAGAAATAGAGTTCTGAGAGACAGCTGTAAAGTTAACCATATGGCACATTCCTTTTGTTTGATGGTTATAGCTACCGTCCCTTCTTAAGTATCTACCCAGGCAGTTTCCTTTGACTTCTGGAGATGAGTTTTCCTGTGAAGATAAAAGGCAAAACACTTAGCAGCCTTTAAACATCACTTATAGTATTGCCATAAATACTATATGAGACATTTGCATTTTAGTTTTTTGCCTAGTGCTAATGTCCACTCTAGAACTCCTGACAATTTCTCAAGCTGTTCAACTAATATTCTCACCCAACAAATAAATGTTTGACATTTGTTAATTGAAATGATTTCTCTTCTAAAGGTTAATTATGAAATTGTCTTAGCACTCAATATTCTGTGATCAAGTTCTCATTTTGCTGTATGCCTATTTTCTTAGTTTATTATATTGAATTGATTTATTGTGTATATGGTGTATATGGGCACAAGTGCCACAGGGCATATGTGAAGGCCAAAGAAAACAACTTGCAGAAGTTAGTTTTTTTCCTTTCATCATGTTCATCCTAGAGATCAAACTCAGTTTGTCAGGCAAGGCAGCAAGTGCCTTTACCCACCAAGCCATCTTACTGGTTGCTTTAGTTATTTTAAGTGTCTCTCATTTCCCTTCCTGGCCTTCTGCATTTTCCCCCCTCATGTTAATAAGTCTCAGCTACTTCATGCTGTAGAAGAACAAGGTCATATCCTCCGATGAGCTTAGTCACTGCTGGACATATTATTGTCTATTTGTAATGTATGGCCTTAGAATGGGCTCAACTTCTCTCCTATGCCCAATTTTATGAACCTAATTTTGATGTCTTTTGATATTTTCTGTGACCAATTTTCCAATAAAAGCTAATATAGTTATACTTTTTATATTATAATTGGAGTCATTTTCAAATTCTATCCTGTTGGATTTGTATGGGATATGGTCTTATGTAGTCCAGGCTGGCCTTGCACTCGATTTATATCCTGGAATGACCTTCCTTGTTTTTGTTTAGCAGATCTGGGGCTTGACCCTACTACATTGTGTTTGCTAGTCAAGTGTTCTCCCACTGAGTTACATCCTCAGCCCTGGTTCTGTTTTTGAGACAGTATCTCACTATGCAGCCCTGGTTGGTTTTGAACTCATTATCTCCCCCCCCCCCATCTTAGCTTTCCAAGTGTTGTAATCACAGGTTTCTACCACCAAGCCCAGTTTGTGGGATGCTAGGAATGCATTCCTGCACTGTCACTGTTAACAGAGTGGTATCTCCAGCCTAGGGTATATTTTTGTTAAGCCCTATTGTAGGACTGTAGGAGCGCCTGTTAAATTTCTCATTTTGTTAGATTTAGCCTGTGCTCTTTGTCATCCAGTATTTTTGGAAACATGTTTCTGCTTATGTGAGTGTGCAGCTGCATTCTCCTCTAAGTCTCAGATGGCACCTGAATTGGCTATTGGCAGGCCCTAGCTACTATCTTCTTTTGCAACTGATCACATTAGAGAATTTCATGTAGTGGGGATTAACACTTACTGGCCTGGAGTCTTCAACTCTAGTGTCCTGTGAAACGTGTGTGCCCCTTGTCTTTATATGACTTGTATTGCCTGTTCCTCCCTCCCATTTTCCTTTTACATGCAAATTGGCAGACTATATGCCCATTGTTGGATCCTGTAATTTATGCTGCTAGAATTTTTTTTGTTTTTTGGCAGAGCCAGAATCACTATCCTTTTTTACCTGAAACCCCCTTAGGTGATTGCTTTTCCTGCCATATCACATTTCCTTATGATATTTATTAATGCCTTGTAAAGTTAGCCTGCTTCCATAGAGAACAGCAAACACCCTCAGAAAAGGCCATGCCTAAAGTTACCTCTGATAAGCACAAACATTTCTTTCTGTCTCTTCTCCATTACTTCTCCTCTTTTACATCCAGTCTCTCCCACGACCTCCACTGAAGAAAAGCAGTTACAGTCTCTTGTTCTCCTGTCAAATGTTGGCTCACAAAAAAAAAAAAAACAAAAACAAAAAAACAAAAAACAAAAAAACAAAAAAACTTGGTGAAGCAAAGCCAAAAACATTGTTAAAGGTGATTAAAAAAAAAAAAAAATCACAGCTATGCCAGGCAGTGGTAGTGCATGCCTTTAATCCCAGCACTCAGGAGGCAGAGGTAGGTGGTTCTCCATTGAGTTCAAAGCCAGCTTGGTCTACAGAGCAAGTTTCAGGACAGCCAGAGCTATACAGAGAGACAATAAAACAAAGCAAAACAACAAAATCACAGCTAATAGAGTCTACAGAGGAGGAGATGATAGACAACATTGAAGATTTGTGATAATCTCAAGACATCTTGAGAATTTTGCCAAGTTCGTTATATAAGAATTTAAGAATAATGAACACGACTGGGATGCCACCTCTAACACTGGGTCTTGGGATTGTGTTTTAGCCCTGGCTAGCCTGGAACTTCCCATGTAGATCAGACTGGCTTCAAATTTACAGAGATCCACCTGCCTCTGTCTCCCAAAATGCTGGGATTAAAGGCGTATGCCACTATGCCAAGCCCTGGTTAATTTTTTAATTTTTTTTTTTTTTTTTGAAGCAGGGTCTCACGTAGCTCATGCTTAGCTTTAACTTGATACGAAGTCTAAAACCTTGAACTTCTGATTCCCCTCCTGCCAGCTTCCCCTTGCTAGGATGACAGGCATGCAAACCTATGCTCAGTGAATTGCAGAGCATCTTTCATGGTAGGCCACATCCTAGCCAAGTTTCTTTAAGATTTCTGAGCTATTGTT